GTACCACGTGTAAGGCGGACTGAATGCCACCTGCCGGTGAGGTCTCCTCAGGTGTATGTGGTCAGTGATCGGCCCAGTAAGATATACTGTGTAGAATCAATCAAATCTGAGTAAGTTGTAATCTTTTTCAGTCACTGTTTTTTCTCTTTAATACAACAATTCAAGAGCCTCAAACGCAAGACTCGCTAGAATGTTACGATGGTGCATAATTTTTATACACGAGCATATTACGCTACAACTTCTGGTAAATTAAATTTAAGCAAGACAATGTATCGCCCATGCCATGTTCGAAGACCCTAGTGAGGATGGGTAGAATAGTTGCATACCAGTATAGCACCCTACCTATACCTGACAGCGATTTCACATTGGATTACATTTTCAGCCTGAATGTTTTAATCTTTTTGACTTGCGAATTGTAGTAATATTGCCGTGATAATTGAAAACCTCATTTTGTTTCTTCTACAAAATGATGCAAAATCTGTGTCAGTTCAGCCATATGACATACACAGTGAATATATAATATTTCAACACATTGTTTTCGTATTTTGTTCACTATAAAATTTTCAAAAAATCTTCAGAAAACAACGTGGTCTTGTTGTAGAAGATCAGCATAATGATGCCGTGACCGCCTTAACACGCAGGTACTGCACAAAATTGTCTGGATAATATTGAAATGAAATTCATGAATCCCATATCACACCGTCAATACTGGAGGAATTTCACAGTGTCGCCTACGAGCGTCGTGTTGCAAAGGCCATCAAGTAAATATCACATTCCCTATCATGATATGGGGTTCCCTTTAGTAGAGTGAAACATCTCTCGTTAGATGTGTCTATTAGAATATTCATTCATGGTAAGTCTTTTCCAGTCAAATTCCAAGTTATAAATTGTGTGTTACATGTAACCTCACCCATGAAGTGTCGGATGGAGCCCCGTGATTGATTAAGACGAGGCTATGTGTGGTTGCCATGGAGTCTATTTTCAAGTATGTGCAGAAAATAGTCTGTCCAAGTCGTCAGATTCAACTCGTGTTCCGTGGTAGTGTAAGATTTATATTTGGTGTTATGTTGAACAGATAGTTGTATTGAAATATTATATCAATGTTCTGCAATAAAGTGAGTATTTTTCTGTCTTCTGTTCTTTCACATCCTCACAAATTATCCATAAATAAAAATGGGACGTGGTCCAAATTAAACCACCCCCTTTTTATTGCTGCTGTGATTTTTTCTTCATTTGCATATGACAAACTAGCAGACACAAGTCCTGGATAACAGGGCACAACTATGAGTAGGAACAGGTTGGCCCAAAAGCAAATAAAAATTATTCACAGGAATTATAAATGCTTAAAATTCTTTAGCAGGATTTAAATTACAGAGTGATCTAAACCTGAAAGCGCAATGGCAAGCTCCATTTACAAGTGAAAACCCACAACAAAGCAAGCCGATGGGACCACTGGGTGTGATGGCGCGAGCCCTCAACAATAACCACATGGAACACTGACAGTAAGTAAACCTCATATTTAACCACACGTACAAAATGAGTTTGAAATCCCCACCAAATAAATGTATACTACTAAAAGTTTTGCCAACACATGTTGATACTACGCTTCAGCAAGATAAGATTTTTAATGGGTTTAAGCAGAAAAAAGGCTACAATTACCGACATGTGGGAGACTAAAGACGTTGTTTACTTGGTTAAATGGCTTTAAGTAAATAAAATGTAGTTTGAATCTCTAAACGTGTTGCTAACTAGGTTGCAATTCTTTCCTTCACCAACTAACTTCGTTTTAGCACTAACTAGGTGAAACAGTTCACTGAGAAAGAAACAATTGATCACCTCCCTGCAATATATGGCTGCAATATTTTATGGTTGTCTGTGAAGGGTTTTCCTGGCTATGTTGAAAAAAAAAAATTATTTATTTTGTGCATTTGGGGGGCAAAAATAACCGTATGGATGACTACATTCTCTTCCCTTAAAATTTATGTATTTAAAAATGGATACATCCATTTCCAAAAAGCAAAATTTTGTAAATGATAAAAATTCAATAGTTTCAAACGAGTGTAGTTGAAATTACAATGTAAAGACAAAAGTTACACCGGTATCTATTAAAAGGTGAGACAAAAGTATTTCCTCGTAAAGTTGACAAAGTTGACAGTAAACCACGCCCCTCGTCAATAGCCCTCTCAACTCAACCATCCATTAACCACACCCAACAAATCCCCTAAGCAATCCTGTCACACCATAAATCAACATACCCGACCTCAAGCCCCCCAAAAAAAAAAAAATTTAACTAGACTCCTCACAAATTCATACGTAGAATCCTTCCAAGAAACTTATCATATCCGACCTTACTAACAACCCCCCAAAAAACATAACTGAACTCAATTATCCTGAAAAATTACAGTGGAAATTCCCTTGACTGAAGCCTAGTGTAGTGGCTCCTCTCCCCTACAACTTCCAACTGAGCTCCGGCCGCACGCCGACCAGCCAATCAGCGTACAGCGTACACCCCAAATCCTGATCCTGGTAAATTGTATAAATACGGCCACGCCTGCCCAGGGAGGACATTCTACACTCAGCTACTGGACCAGAAACATCTCTCCCAGCTCCTCACCTAGTCACTCCTAAGCACGGCGCTGTACAACAATATATATACAGAAAGCGCATTGTGAGTTTCTGTCCTACCTCATTCCTGAGTGGATACATCTACATGTAGTACGTACGTTTGTGTGCCCATACAACTAAAGAGAATTGACAACTGGCCACATACAGTACGCTACACTAGAGTCAGTTTGTAGTAAGGCAGCTGATTGGTTGGGAAACTGACACCTGAAGAATCACTAAAAGTTATTCAGCATTTAATGTATATTATGGTATTTTAATGGATAATAACCTTTCTACGTTGATATCTGATTGCTTAAGCTTTTGTGTAATAAAAAATCACAGAGCACGAATTCTGGGACGTAAATTCCTCCTTGCCGCGTGACGTCACGAAGCGGGGGTAGATGATGTCGCTGAAATTTTTTATTTTATTGTCGTTCTCATCAAAATGTTTAAGTTACATAGCGTTTCGCATGCTTATTTTTGCTTCCTCCAGTGCGGAAGTTATCAGAGATCACAGAAGTGACTTGGGGAGTTCGCTAGTGTACCTGCGCTCTGTAGTTCCCAAAGCCTTATCCTTGGAGGAGAAATAGGAACCCCAATGACATCGATACTTGCTGACGCAAAAATAGAGTACACTGAGCTTTCTTGCTGAAATACAAAAAAGAAAAAAGCTATAAACTACTACGGGAACTGCATCAGTTATCCCTCACTCAGTTTTCTGTTGTCTCCAACAGCTGACAGTGGACTCGCACGTGACCTGCCATTTAGTACCCAGCTCTTGCAGCGTGTCGATGTGTTTTCTTGTTTTGGCCATAGATGCATAACTCGTGAAGTTTTCATCAAATTTTCTTCGTTTGTTCTAAACCGTTTGCCAAGGTGAGTGTTTTTGCCTTTGGAATAACTGGATTTCTGGTGATTCCACGTTCTTTAGATAGGATTTTATATTAAGGATGGAATCGCTTGCCTCCGCCACCTTCAGTGCTGGGGCCCTTGCTGGTTAGCCCCTTTGTGCCTCCTTTCCCATAAGTGTTTTGTGTTTGGTCCTCTTCCCCAGGTTTGGCTTTTAGGTCCAAGGGTGGGGGACCCAACTCGCTTGCTTCCAGCACCGTTGTTTCGTTTCTGGTGGAAAGCTCCGACTGCCCGTGAAAGTGTTTTTTCATGGGCAGGATGGTCTGTTAATGGCAGAGCTGATATACAGTACTGTAACACATTGAATATTAAGCATTAGGTACACAATAGAGGCGATGTGGCTGGTACTGCACTAGATCACCTTTCCTTCCACATTCAAAATTTATACTCCGTACTATAGTAAACAAACGGCCTTTAAGTTGCCAGCTGTCTCTACCAGTGTTCAAAGAATCTTGAACGAGACTGTACGTACTTCAAGGTCATTAGTGAAGATGGAATTGTTTGAGTAATATTTAACAATGGTTAACCAATGACCAAAAGAAGTATATATACAGGTGTGTGTGTATATATATATATATATATATATATATATATATATATATATATATATATATATATATATATATATATATATATATATATATATATATATATATATATATATATATATATATATATTCCTCTTACAAAAATTATTTTTTCATAGGTTTTTTATTTAATACAATCAGTAGTCAGGCTCTTTTTTGCCGCAATATTAGTGAAATATACCTTACCCTAACGTAACCTTACCTAACTTTACTTAACCTAATCTTTACCTAAACTAACCTGACTTTACTTAACCTATTCCTTACCTAACCTAACCCTACCTAACCGATAATTATTCAGGATATACTTGGTTTCTCCCTCGATTCATGAAAAGGAGATATCGCCGCCTATCCACCTTCAGGCCCCGTTAACACCTTTACGACTAAAAAAAATAGGTCTGCTTGCATGGCTTTTCTTGGTGTGTCAGATCAGTCAACATGACTGATCCGGGTGTGATCAAACGATTTGCAAAAAAAAGGGGGGGGTCTTAAGACCGTTTTATTTTGTTAGTAAATGTACCCTGGTTTGAACAAGTGATTGGTTAGATTTTCTATGTACATTACTTGCTACTTAGCGGTCATTGGCTGGTTAATTCAGTGCTTGGTTTACACTCATAACAATAATTAAATATATGTATAAATGTATGTTTAAATGTGAAATGTTCCCCCTGAAACATTTAACTATAAAGCGACTGACTAAAATACTCATACAATAAATAAATGACGTGAAATGCACTACCGAGAATACAGAGTGGGCGGAGTCTATGTATAGCGCAACTTGATTGGCCATTTGAATGCTCGTCCTTTCACCACTCATATCATTATAAATACGGCGTCGAAATTTTTTCATGCCATACATTGTGGACGAGTTGGTCAGAACGAAACTTCGAACTCATCGTAACTATGTCCGGTCGTGGAAACGCGTCGAAGAGGAAGAAACGAATGGGCTTAGCTGAACAGGCAGGTCTTCTGTTCCCAGTGGCCAGGGTCCGTCGTTACCTTAAGGAAGGACATTACGCTGCTCGGATAAGTGTTGGAGCTTCTGTTTATTTCACGGGGATTTTGGAATACCTGACTGCAGAAATACTGGAGCTAGCCAGCAACGTGGCTAGCGCAACTAAGATGATACGCATCACGCCCCGTCACATCTATCTAGCAGTCCGCAACGACACGGAGCTCAATGACTTACTCGAGGACGTTACCTTTCCTGAAGGAGGTGTCGTGCCCCACATCCATTCGAAACTCCTGCCCAAGACTAAGTAAGACACTTGAGTAATAACAAGAATCCATTTTTAGTCTACAACGGTACCTCCTTGATTGTACACAGAAAAAAAATAAAACGTAAAAAAAAGCTCCATATGGAGCACACACGTATTAAAGAGATGATGGGTTTTACCTATTAAATATGCATTATGGTATTACACCTGAGCAGTCATTATATCGAATTTCTTTCATTCAGTCCATTACATATACAATATATTGTCCTTTGTTAACCAGAAAGTTGTATCTTAATTTTTTATTGTTGATTAGTGTGTGTCCTATCCTAGAACTGGCGTTTGGAGACTTTAGTTAAAGCTCAGTAAGAATTCATTCTTACTACTGTTCAAATTTTAATTTACATCAAACTCCGAATTTACGATTGCATCAATAAGGATTCCAAATAGAAATTTATGAGAGATGGTTACTGATGAATTTTACCTGCTGTGTATAGCAGTCGGGCAGTCTTTTTTTTTTTTAATATAGTATCATGGCACAAAAATTCAGCCATATTTTCTCAGCTGATTGTACAATCAGCCGAGTTCTCTTTTTTAGTTTTTCTTCTCGCTCGACAGAACCACTGCACTGAGTGGTTAGCACACTCGGTAAACAAAAACAGTGCCTGTCAGGAAGGTCAGATGAATTTGGAGCTGACCAATCGTGTTGTCTCGCTAGGGTTGGTTGGCGTGATTGTGAGACATTTCTTTTCTATCATGGTAGGCCTTACTAGTTATTTCATTCAAAATATAAAATTAGTTCGTTGCTTTATGATTATAAAAAAACCATTCATTCATGGTGTTATTTTGTTTCGCACAAGAATAGTAGATTCTTGATTTTTTTTTTTTACAGAGTGTACTTAAATTAATACAGTTGACAACGGTCGTATACAGATGAAGCTTTTGAATATTTGAATAAATTAAAGATTGGAAGAATAGCTAGTGTCAAGTGGATATTTTCAATATTAGTTTTTTATAATAATATATTAGTTTTCTTTTCATTGTTAGCGTTGTTCTACAGTTTCAGGAACAAACATCAGTGCAAGATAACGCTGCCTGGTTTTGGAACTGATCAATGCACATTTGACTTAGCCAACCTGTTTCACCAATGATGATGTTGATATACATCCTTTGCTTCAACAGCTTAGGCCTTTAACTTAAAGACCTTAAGACTTAAAGTCTGTACTCCTGGTTTCAATCATACACTATATATTAACTATTAAAAATTAGTTGTTACAGCAATAGTGAATTTTACTGCGCTTCGACAACTAAGGTCTCTTAAGCACGTACTGTATTCTGGGTAAGTGTACGCACATTAATCATCATTTAATAAAAATTATAGGGATCTTTTTCACTTTTTACACGATATCCTAATCGCCAGCCGTAGCCTACGATTTGAAAGTGAAACTCGTCACTGATTGGTCAAGTTTACGTTCTGGGCTGGCAAGGTGACGGTCTTCTCGTCCAGTCAGATTTAATCCCTCCCCCCTCCCCTTTACCTTCTTTGCCATCTCACGTCAGTTAATTACCAAAATAACGGAATTATGTTCGCTACTCGCATCATTCGTAGTGCCCAGCGGTTACTGTGTATTTAAATAAATTCCCACAAAATTTTGAGTGTCCACGCGTGGTTAAATTTGTGCGAAAAAAGAACGAAACAAAATGACAAGATAAAGGATAATGAGATAATTTAATTCAATTAATCAGTCAGATGGCCATAAATTATCACAGGTAATGTTTGTACAGTAGGCTACACGGCGCCCGTTCATATTTATTTGGTAACTATTTTTCGTGAGAATGTATTCAAATCTTTGGTAACGCCTTTATTTTAATTGTCGTATATTAGTGATTTCTTATTTCACGAAATACACCTGTAAGGTATAAGCAAAATATTAGCTCGACATATTATATAATTATATGATCAATTTATATTAAATTACTTGGCTGTGCACCTCTCAAATAATTTTACAATAGAGGATTAAATTTCATCAACTGTATTGGATATTAATCCCAAGCTTACGACTACGTGCATACTAACGCTTTGGGTATTTTAACAACTCCGGCTATTAATGTTTTGTTTACTTAACCCGTGATGAAACAACCATACTGATGGCTCACGTCTATACGCAGTTTATCTTCATTTTTCTCAAACTTTAAGTCTAAAAAGGATAAACATATTATTTATTAAACATGGTAAGTTAGTGTATATCCATTGTATCAATCATCTACCTCTTTAAAAATTTGCGGCTCCAAAAGGAGCCTTGGGTGGTATCAATAGAGTCGGTGTTCTTCTAATACAAGTAGTATTACTTTCTGGAGGAGTATTTAGAAAAGGCCTTGGTACCATTTGATACTGCATGTAGTTGCAGTTCACCAGTACATAGGAGACGCACGGCGCCTTCTAGATCCCGGTTAATGATAGTAGATCTTTTGTTTTTTACTGCCAGATGAGAAGCTGTTTCTGCTAGGCGCACAAACATGTCGTTCACGAAAGAGTCCATAATATTCAGGGCCTTATTGGTGATTCCATGCTTGGGAGCCACAACTTTCAAAAGCCTGTGGATGAACAATTTGTAACTTTCTCTCCTTCGTCGCTTCTTCTTATCCATTTTTGTTTTTACGGATACAACTGCCCTTCCTTGTTTTGGTACGATGCAACCGTTGTAAACAGGAAGAAATGTGGAAAAATTTGCCTTGCCTTGCTTTTTATAACCTTGGCGTTACTTCTATCTGATTGGTTGATCTGTCATCGGTGAATATCCAATGAAGTAAATTTCATCAAAACAAACGAATCCCATTGGTCACTTGTCCGAGACCAATCAGCTTGCTCCCCACATACATGAAAAATATACTGTATAAGATCAAGATAATTTTTCTGTGATAAAAAGACATACACAGGATAGCTAAGCTGCGAAACAAGAAACAGCTGAAGTACAAGGAGGCTCTCCTTGTAGTGAAGAAGCCGAAACAACAAAACAAGACAAGAAAAGAAAAACAAGAAGGAATAGCAAGAACCAGCAAATTAAGATGCTTTAATCTGTCTCTGTACTTAAGGTTCCTAATGCCCGGGATTAGTCTTGTCATCCTACTCTGAATGCTTTCTTGGGATTCTATATCCATTCTGTAGTACGGTGACCAGAATTGAACCACGTAATCCAAGTGAGGTCTCACAAATGCAAGATATAGTTTAAGGATAACCTCGCTAGTCTTGTAACTGACACTCCTTCGTATGAACCCAAGCTGACAGGAGTTTGCCTGTTGACCATGATGCGTTGATAACTGTTCGGAGAGCAAGTTCACCAGCAAGTCCTGCATTGCTGAGCAATGAATAGGTTATACCATCAGTGCCAAGGGCGGTGTCGTTCCTTGTTTTCCTGGCCCCTGTGATTTCTTCTATAGTAAATAGACAGTCTGTAATGTCAGTTTGTTTAATTGCATGTCTGACTACTACTTCTCTCTCCAGTTGTACTTGCTGTAGATGAAGTCTTATTTCAGGAGGTAGTTGAACTGATGACGAGTGTTCTGCAAAGTGCTCTGCCAAGCGATTTGCTTCCTGTAGTGGCTGGGGGTGGGCTGGAGCTCTGGGCAGTTTTCCTGTTGCTATCCTGAGTTTTCTCCAGAGTTCACTCAGGCTGGTGTGTGCATTAAAGGTTGCACACCACTCGAGCCATTTGTCTTCCCTAATTTTCTAAGTATTTTGACGAGCATGTTGGACAGCAGCTCTCAAAGAGTTTCACTCCCTCAGGGGAAGGGTACTGTCGGAGATGTCTTCTAAATGTGTTGATTGTGATTCTGTTCTCTGACCTCGCCATTGTAGAACCAGTAGTCTTTGTGTCTATTTGTAGGGTGTGTTTTTGGTATTGCTTCCTCTGCTGCGTGTTGTATGGCATCAGTAAGGTCCTGGTTTAATTGGTCAATATCTTCTGCTGGTTCATAGTTCGAATACCATTTTTGGAGTGGCGCTGCCAGAGGTGACGGCACCCCCCAGGGGCCCTGCCAGCAGCGGTGGCGTGAACAGGGGCACGCCCAGTTGCAACAGCACCCCCAGGGGCCCTGCCAGGGGTGGTGGTGCCCCCAGGGTTCCTGCCAAGGTCGGTGGCGCCAACAAGTGCCCTGCCAGGGTCGGTGGCGCCAACAGGTGCCCTGCCAGGGGCGGTGGTGCCCCCAGAGGTCCTGTTAGGTGCGGCGGCGCCTCCCAGGGGACCTGATAGGGGCCCATCCAGGTGCAATGGCACCCCCAGGGACTCTCCTTGGGGGCAGCAGTGCCCCGAGGGGCCCTGCCAGGGACAGTGGTGCCCCCAGGGGCGGTAGTACCCCTAGGGGTTTGTCTTGGTCATTATTTATACCAAGTATATACACTAACTCTTTCTGTACTAAAGTTATGCTATCAAATTGCATAATTGTTAGAGACAGATAGCACTGTCCACCTGACTCGTGCAATCCAGGGAGGTGAGAGGTAATATACCCAACTGAGAGATAGTGGTCTTCCCAGGATAAGGTGTATCTGCGATGAACCATTGTCAGTGTGTACAATAGATAGCCAGCAAGCATTGCATTCGATATCCATGTTGATTATGAATCATGTTACACATATGTATGGTATTCAGTATTAGAAAAAAATGGAGGTAAAGAAAACAATATTTACCAGATTTCAGGGGAGTAAACCCAATTTTCCTTACACAATAACTACAATTAAGGCAAAACGTCTCTTTAGTCTACTAACTCCTTGTGTATGGGCTGAATAAACTCATCTGGTGTTAGCCAAATAAATTACTGGACTGTATTAAAAATGGTGTCCCCTAAGTGAACGAGCGACTCTTGATATTGCTATCGGAAGACGCTGTCTCCAAAGAGTTTCAGGATGTGAAAAAATTACAAAATTAGGCCTTTCCTGTCCTCTGTGGTAGTGTCAGTGACAGAGGTCTGGTTAAGGAGTGAAGACTTGTACCTTTAACTCTGGATGTGGTAATGTGCCACTGAAGGTTATGTTGTCGACAAGTGTTCCTCAGACACTAAGCAACGTGTTAACTGAGACAACCTTCCTATTTTTTTTTACCAGGAAACGCATACACACACCAGTCAAACATGTATTATAGTACTGTATAAAGAAATCTCGGACAGGAATCACATGACAAAGTTTTATGGGCCCCTTTAAAATTGGAGCCCTTTAGGATTGTGCCCCTTCCTTAACTTATCAAACCGTTAGTAATGGGGTCCACCAGGACTGGCTTTCATTATGACAAGGGCCTAATGGAATTGGATCCACTGAGTCCCAATTGTGGTTTATCAGAACTGGGGCCCAATAGACCAGGCACAAGTGTCCGTTGTCCGTTGATAGTGTAAACCTATAGTTTGTGTGTGTGTGCACAAAATTGGAGGAAAATCTGAATGTACAGTTGTGGGCACAAAGAACAGAGCACGGAGGGTAAGTTGCATCTGCCTCATAATTAAACTTTAAAAAAAGAGTGGAGTGGGAAGAAAATTGCAGACTTTTAATTGTCACCTCTATGTAACATTACTTTTACCTTTATCCTCTTTGCCGCTGATCGGCTCGTTAATCACTTGGGTAGTCGGTCACATCTCTGTTATGCACTGTTGGCAAGTACTGGGCATGCACTGGCTCCCAGGGGCCCTGCCAGGGGCGGTGGCGCCTCTAGGGGCCTTGCCAGGGGTAGTGGCTCCACAGGGCCATGTTAGGGGCGGTGGCGCCGCCAAGGTCTTTGCCAAAAGTGGTGGCGCCCCCAGGAGCCCGCTCAGGTGCAATGGCGCCTCCAGGGGCTCTCCCTAAGGGGAGCAACGCCCCCTGGGGCCCTCCCAGAGGAGATGGCGTCCCCAAGGGCCCTTTCAAAGGAGGTGCCCCCCCCCCCCCAGGAGCCCGCTCAGGTGCAACGGCGCCCCCAAGGGCTCTACCTAAGAGCAGCAGCGCCCCCTTAGGCCCTCCCAGAGGAGATGGCGCCTCTAGGGGCCCTCCTAGGGGCGGTGGCGCCCCCAGGGGCCCTTCCAGACGAGGCAGTGTACCCAGGTGCACTTCCAGGGGCGGTTGAGCCCTAAGGGGCCTTCCCAGGGGCGGTGGTGGCCCTAGGGGACATCGGCGCCTCCATGAGCCATTGCCATGGGCTGTGGCACCCGAGGGGCCCTGCCAGGGGCGGTGGCACTTAAGGGGCCCTACCAGGGGTTGGTGGCGCCCCCAGGAGCCCTACCTGGTGCCGTGGCGCTCCCAGAAGCCATGCTAGCGGCGGTGGCGCCGCCCAGGGGCCCTCTCAGAGTCGGTGGCGCCCCCAGGGGCCCTCTCAGGGTCGGTGGCGCCCCCAGGGGCCCTCTCAGGGTCGGTGGCGCCCCCAGGGGCCCTCTCAGGGTCGGTGGCGCCCCCAGGGGCCCTCTCAGGGTCGGTGGCGCCCCCAGGGGCCCTCTCAGTGTCGGTGGCGCCCCCAGGGGCCCTCTCAGGGTCGGTGGCGCCCCCAGGGGCCCTCTCACGGTCGGTGGCGCCCCCAGGGGCCCTCTTAGGGTCGGTGGCGCCCCCAGGGGCCCTCTCAGGGTCGGTGGCGCCCCCAGGGGCCCTCTCAGGGTCGGTGGCGCCCCCAGGGGCCCTCTCAGGGTCGGTGGCGCCCCCAGGGGCCCTTGGAGGGGTGGTGGCGCCATCAGAGCCCTTCCAGGTGCGGTAGCGCCAACAGGGGCCCTGCCAGGGGTGGTGACACCCCCAGGGCCCTGCCCAGGTAAAACGGCGCTACCAGGGGCGATGGTACCCCCAGGGGCCCACAAAGGCGCAACGGCTCCCCTAGGGGGCTCTGCTTCGCGGTAGCAGCTTCCAGGGGCCCTGCTAGGGGCGGTGGCTCCCCTGGGGCCATGACAGGGGCTCACCTTAGGAGTAAAAGCGCCCCCTGGGACCCTCCCAGAGGAGATGGCCCTCAAGGGACCCTGCCAGGAGCTGTGGCTCCCTCAAGGGCACTATCAGGGGCGGTGGCGCCACCAGATGCCCTGCCAGGGGCAGTGACGCCAACAGGGGCCCTGCCAGGGATAGCAGGGCCTCAGAGGCCCTGCCAGGGGCGGCGGCACCCCCAGTGGCCCTGCCAGCAGCGGTGGCGTGAACAGGGGCACGCCCAGGTGCAACAGCACCCCCAGGGGTCCTACCAGGGTCGGTGGCGCCAACAGGGGCCCTGCCAGGGGCGGTGGTGCTCCCAGAGATCCTGCAGGGTCGGTGGCGCCTCCAGAGGCCCTTCCAAGGGAGGTACCGCCCCCAGAAGCCCTTTCCGGGACAGTGGTGTCCCCATGGGACCCCCTAGCGGCGGTGGTGCCTCCAAGAGCCAGGCCAGGGGCGTTGTAACCCCCAGGGGCAAGGCCAGGAGCCCTGCCAGGGGTGGATGCTCCCCCAGGGGTCTTGCGAGGGGTGGTAGCGCCCCCAGGGGCCCTGCCAGAGCCGGTGTCACCAACAGGGGTCTTGTCAGGGGAGGTGGCGCCCCCAGGGGCCCTGCCAGTGGCGCCCCTAGGAGCCCTGTCAGTGGCGGCCCCTGGGCTCTCCTTAGAGGTAGCAGCACCCCCAGGGGGCCGTCTCAGAGAAGCTGGCATCCCTAGGGGCAGTGACGCCCTAAGGGGCCTTCCCAAGGGCAACGGCGCCCCCAGGGGTACTGCCAGAGGCGCTGGCGCCCCCAGAGGCCCTGCCAGGGACGGTGGCTCCCCCAGGGGTCCTGCCAGGGGTGGTGGTGCCCTCAGGGGCGTTGCTAGGACAGGTGGCGCCAACAGGGGCCCTACCAGGGGAGGTGACGCCCCCAAGGGCCCTGCCAGAGCCGGTGATGCCAACAGGGTCCCTGCCAGGGGCGGTGGTGTCCCAGAGGGCTGCCAGTGGAAGTGGCTCTCCTAAGGGGCAGCAGCGCCCCCAGGGGCCATCCCAGAAAAGTTGGTAACCCCAGGGGCGGTGGCGCCCCGAGGGGCCTTCCCAGGGGCAATGGCGACCTCAGGGGTAATGCCAGGGGCGGTGGTGCCCCCAGGGGCCATGCCAGGGGAAGTAGCGGCACCAGGGGCCTTGTCAAGGTCGGTGGCGACCACATGGGCCCTCCCAGGGACAGCAGCGCCCCCAGGGTCCTGTTAGGTGAGGCAGCGCCCCCCAGGGGACCTGATAGGGGCCCATCCAGGTGCAATGGCACCCCCAGTGGCTCTCCTTAGGGTCAGCAGTGCCCCAAGGGGCCCTCCCAGGGACAGTGGTGCCCCCAGAGGTGGTGGTACTCCTAGGGGCCCTGCCATGGGCGGTGGCGCCCCCAGGGATCCTCTCAGGGGCGGTGGTGCCAACAGGGGCCCTGCCAGGGGCGGTGGCACCCCTGGGCATCTTCCTCCATTTAATCCTTACCTAACAAATATTTTGTAAACCTAGCAGTCTCTTGGCGGCGCCACATTCTGGGGTGAACACGTATGCCCATTGGAGTGACCTCTCCTTTTGTAGTATAGAATCCTTGGTAGGATGGAGTAGTGTCAAGGGGTTGGAAGCACTGGATAGTGCCAAACAGCAATGAATACATAGCTGTAGCATCTCCCAGCACTTAACAGAAACTAATAACTAACAGGAACACCTGGTAGCTCCTACCAGCAGCATCTAGTAATTAAAAGCTAGCAGCCAGCAGCAACATGTTGCTTGCAAGTTAGTAAATATAAGCAACAGCAGTTAGCATCAACTGTTAGGATGAAAAGGGAAGAGGATAAGGAAATAGAGGAAGAAACAGAAAAGGAAGAAAGTGACACAATGATAAGTTTTCACATTGTTATTCATTTTTTATTATGCTGGACATCTTGAACAGTATTTGTTGAGATACAGTACAGTGGATATAATAACTATACATGTTTGTTGCATATATTGTATGTCATATATTACTGTATACAAAGAAAAACATCAAACAAAACTGACAAACTAGTGTTTTCTATGAAAATCTTTAGTGAAGGCTTTACAGGTGAACTTAAATACAGGAAAATGTTATATAAATTCAGAAATTCACATGATGTTACCTCCACTCTGCACCACTTCTTGTAGGGATCTATTATATTCTTGAACAAGTTTCATGGCTTGATTTTTAAATGGTAAAAAGTTAGATTCAGCTTTCCTCTGTGCAATGAACTCCCGGAGAGTAAAATTGGTTTGTTCCAGGTGAGCCCACTTCTTCTCCAGGTTTGTAAGTTGGGTGTATGTTTCATTTTCATGAAGCTGGTTCTGTAATGTAGCACATGATAAATGTCTATTATAATACTGTACAGGCACCACCTACAGTAGTATATTAATACAGAACTGACACCTGTGCATCCAAAACATCTTGAAACAGAACTGAGGATCCTCTAGTCATTATATTCCAATTAAAATAACACTGGAACAAATACAGGCATCCCCTGGGTTACGGAACTCTGTTTACAGAAATTCGCTCTTTCGGATTTTGTAAATTATGACCAATAAATTCAGGACACAGACAAAAAATTCGCCCTTATGGAAATTGGGTAAATTTTTAAGTTGTGAATTTTTTTTCAATACTACAGTATTAGAAAAAATCACAAATTTAAATTTTTATTTTGTGTGGATTTCTTGGTGGTTGCTACAATACTGTACAGGGCGAGGCAGGAGCCAGTGGTGCTACTCCGTCTTCCTCCCAGTAACTTCGATTGCACTACCTTATACCTTACCTAACGCAGCACTCAACATCGTTTGTGGCAAGTTAAATTAAAGTGTTTTGTATATTTATTATCATATTACAGTACAGTACAGGTATATCATAAAATAATCAATGTATGTGTCAAAAAAAATTATTTGAATTCATAAATGTGCTTGTATTACATCGTTTTGCGAAAAATATTTCCTTGGGAACGCATCACCAATTATATAATGGAAGTCAATGGGAAAATTGGTTTCATGTGCCGAAATTTCACATTACGGACAAATTTTCAAGGACACATACCTTCCGTAATCTGGGGGATGCCTGTACTGTATAATACATTATTAGCTCAATAGGGATCGTCAGATGTTCAAACACTGTAATGTTGGGCATCGAAAAATATTTTCTTGCAAAAAATCGTATATTCTAATGTGGTCCATCTTTATATAGTAGAATACAAAACTGTAAAATATGGTTCTCATCAAGGCTGCCCATGTGCCACTATGTTCAAGGAATTAATTTTTAAGGGTTGCTAGAAAATAACACTTTACCCATGCAACAAGCAAGTGGAGGAAGTATCACTTTCTCGCAGTACAGTTCACTGGTTGTGAAAGAAGACTAGGCAAGAGATTGCAGATGTTGAAAAGTCAATTTAACTACAGAATTTCCTTTATTTCTTCATTGGGATGGAAAAAAAGTTAATTTTTCCTAGGTCTCTCATATACTCTTGGCAGCTTAGCACTGAGCAGCTGGTGTTGCTGGGAGCTCTCATATGCCTGGCAGCAGTGTTTACAGTAATACCCCGTTTAGGGCTCAGGATACATTCCTAGATAATAGAGCGCTATCCAAAACATCACTTGCATATATGGGGATGTGCTCATGATGACATTATTTTTTACCTGTAAGTTATACACAGTACTGTATTGTATATGAAGGGTACAGGTTTTAATGAACAGGCTATTACAGTAACTTATATTTGCTATTATTAATGAATAACAAATAAACAATACTGTACAATGAATGACAGTCGTTTGTGGAATAGTCGTGATGACAGTAGTAAAATGAGTGAGAGATGCAGTGGGTGGGTGGGAGGGAGGCAGGTAGTGGGAGGGAGTTGGGGGGTAGTGGATATCATATAGCTTTGCAGCTAATCCATCTCTGCATCACTGAAGTTGTGATTTAGGTGGTAATAATAGAGGTAGTGGTGATGATGGAGGTGATGGTGAGGAAGATGTGGCAAGTGGTGAGGAGGTGATGTGTCTCAGTTTCTTTGGTAACTGCGCCCGGAGCACTGCCAGACGCTATTGAACAGCTGATATCTACCCACAAAATTGAGTATAAGTATTGATGAGCAATGTTGTATCCCTTCAATACAGTTGGTCCTCATATTACGCGGTTAATGTAACCCGGAGGGTACCGCGGAAAGTGAGAAACGCGTAAAGTGAATAACATAACATATGGGATTAATTGAAATGGAGTCCGGGCCGATCCCCAAACTCCACTTTTTGACGACACACAACTATGTTGTAGTAAAAATATTATCTTAACTTTATGATGGCATGCACACACAATTAATAATTAAGAGAAATATCAATAATATTAGGTTTTTTAACACTTACATTAGTAGAAAAGATGGCTGGGCACACGGGGATGGGCGGTTGGTTCCGAGGCAGAGGGCAGATTATTGGCCCTCACCTGTATCACTTGTATCAATTGTATCACTATCCACCACAGAGGCTTGCAGGGCCTCTTTGTCAAACCCCCCAAAGTTCATATAAGTCCATATCCTCACTATAATTATCACTATCACTGACTTGGGCCGGCTGTAGTGGGTGGCGGGTGAAGAACTGGTCATGTTTTGATGACTGGGCGACCTTGTGCGCACCATTTTCGCGCCTCTTACACAACATGGCGGATGGCGGGAGGTTTGGATCCAAAAATGGCGCGGCTTGCCAGCCGCTCTCCGCGTAATGGGGTTCACGACCGCGGAATGTGAAAATGTTAGGTTCTGGCAAGGCACCGCGTTAACGGTGAAACGCGGAATGCGGGACCGCGTAATATGAGGACCAACTGTATTACGTTAAATAGCATTTTAAAATATGGAGTGAAAAAGGTGGGGCTGATTATAGAGGTGGAGTGGAAGGGAGTGGTAACATGCACCAGGTGTTGCCAAGGGCTCCACAGCAGTTGATCTCGAGACCACTTCCCCCACCACCACACATTGTTCTTAATAATGGTTCTAACAGTCGAAGTAGCCAATTAGAAAGTAACACCGACATCCACAAGACGATCACCAACTTTCTACCACCTCAACACTTGTAATTTTACATCTAAGGATATACTTTTCTGTGGTACTTTAGACGCACTAGCAGTATAAAACTTGTAGGCCTTTTTCCAGACATGATGAGTATAAAATAGTCACCAATACTGTATAAAAAAAAAATCAAGTCAATAAGAATGTGTCCACAGTGTAAGCGCAGCAAATTTGTTCTACAGTATACTGTAGACTGTAAACAGAGCACTTGGCGCTGATTGGTAGAGTGAGCAAAGCAAAAAGAGCTGCTCTTGTGAGTTGTGAGTGTTTGGACTTGTGACTTTCGATACTTTTATATTTTTTGTCCCCGTCTTTTTCCCTTGAGCTCCAAGAGCGTTATAGCAAAATAGCCCTCTACGAGGTAGTACTAATATTACAGTGACCCCTCGTTTAACGAACACCTCGGTTAACGTAATTTCGATTAACGAACTGCCTTCCATAAGGATCTTCAATTCGGTTAACGAAAAAAAATTCGGTTAACGAAGTTCTTACGAACCGACCTCAACATGTTTTCACTTGCACTGACCGGGCAACCAGCTTTAGTATCAGTCCGCCAATACATTAATCGGTTCTAGTGCTTAAATTCCTTACTATTTTAGTAAATATCAAGAAGTTTATACTATTCAATAATTTTAAAAGTTTAATAATCAATTTTTTAGTCATTTTAACAATTATTGAACATAATTGAAGGTAAAGTGACTAGTTTAATGCGCGGCATCCAGCCTCTTAACACAGCAAACAGGAGTTAGTCTCTCTCTGTTTTCACTGGAGGCAACATCTTGCTTGAGACTCTCTTCAACTAAACGCTTTTTTTCTGTGTTTCCAAGCAAATTATTGGTCATTTTGAAATATATTTTACATATTGACAATAAATAATGCAGTGCAGTGTTGATTTAAAGAAAATAATCTTGAATATTTCTGCATTTTTTATATTAAAATTATTGGTCATTCTGAAATTTAGTTAACATATTGATAATATATACAGTACAGGGAACAGTTTTTGTGTGCCCATCAGCTGACTGAATCACCCAACAACGCTTCTCAGTTTAACTTTGTTTACAATGGAGTGAACATCCAGTTTGTTGGTCTCTTGAATATTTTTGAATTTTTACATTAAAATTATTGATCATTCTGAAATTTAGTTTACATATTGATAATATATAGCGCAGTGCAGTGTTGATGTAAATAAAATAATCTTGAATTACACCTAGTGAACTTGAAATTTTATTGATGAAATTACTGCATCAAGCATGGGTCCCCTGAAAGATGATTTCTCCTTCATCCCCACTTCCTTCTCTTCTCCCTTCTCCTCCACCCCCATCATCATCATCAACCAGGAACCTTCTACATGCACACCTCAAAGTAAGTGTACTTTACTGCATTTTTTTTTTACTTTGTACTATATACTTTTCTGTGAGCTGGAACCAATTACCCAATATCCCATTGAAATAATGGATTCGGTTAACGAAATTGTTGGTTAATGAACGACTCTGTGGAACAAATTGTGTTCGTTAACCGAGGGACCACTGTTTATATATATATTTAATGTACTGTATGTACGAGTACACACACACACACACACAAAAGTGATATCCCTGCTAGCAGGAACGATTGGTGCAGAGCACTTCCGTCAATTAGAGATTTCCAGGTAACAAGAAACTTTCTCAAACCCGGAAAAATTCCTTATCCCTGGAATCTTTTCCAGTTACTGGGAAAAGTTTCTGAGTGTCAAAACTAAACACATCCCTAGAATGTTTCTGGGTACTAGGGAAAGTTCTTTGAGAGTCTAAACTACCGGAGTCTGTCAAAACAGTTCTTATGGAATGGAACCTATTTTCCCAATACATTATTAATGTCGATATACAAGTACAATTGATCATTTATCGATGGCCTTTTGAGGTTCCTAACCCCATCGTATAATATTCATTGCCTGTACTGGGTAATGCTTACATTTAAATCAACTGAATAAAATCTTAAAATCACTGGTAATTCACCCTCCTCTTACTCTATTAATAATCCACAATATCTTGCTATGAATGTATGGAGGATTGGAGGAATCATGATTTATAGTGCAGCAACATATTTTTGAGGAGTAATAACATTACCTTAGTTGAAGAAATGGTACTGTTAATCTCCTGCAGACTCTGAGAAATACACACTTTTCTGGCTTCTAGGTCTTCCCTCTCCTGAGCCAGTTTCTTCCTCTTCTCCTCAGCTCGTGTTCTCAAACCATCTAGATCTGAGAATTCTAATATTTCTTTTTCCATCCGACCTAATTTTTCTTTTAGTTCCACCATCTCTTTTTGTACTTTAGTTTCCAAAGCATCTATCTGAAAATAAATTTAGCTGAAGTTGGACAGTCAAGTGTAATCATAACCATTGACATTTAAAATTTAGTTAGTATCACTTTGGACTCTCAATCCAACAAACATACTGTATATACATGTGAAGAAACAGGATTTGAAATACTGCTTAGTTTAACCCTTGAGTGTTTAACACACACACACACACGCACGCACACACAGTAGGGTCGGGATATATCGCGCGATAGGGTCCAAGGATGTTCACTATACTGTACAGTATACTAAATTGCGATATATAATTACATGTAATCAATGGGGAAAATAGGGTTAAGTTCTGGAGGCCTATAAAAGTGACTAAACTTGACATAAAATGGCACAGTCTAAGGTTAGCAGAATATAAATTACACTGCTGGAATCCTTCCAAGACAGCGAATAATTTGAACATAAACGTCATATATTTTGCACAAGAGATAAAAATTAATCACATGTATGTATCACATTTATTTCTTTAACGTTTCTTTTAGTATGATGTGTGTATGTAAATAAATAAAAATAAATGAAAAAAATTTATGTAAATCTACCCAAAAATAGTTGAAAAACTGTACATTATTAAAATGTACTACAGTACACTAATGTACTAAAATTTTCATCTTGTGCAAATTATATGACGTTTATATTCAAATTATTCACTGTCTTGCAAGGATTCCAGCAATGCAAATTATATTCTCCTAACTTTAGTCTGTGCTATTATATAAGATAAAAATTTAAAGCCTACAGTATAACCACCCAACCCTGGCTGGGAGGGTGGGGGGGGGAGGAAGGGGAGAAAAAATTTACACTTTGACAGTTGGTGCAAAGGTCTAGTGAAGTATTGATTTGTTTATTTATGTCCTTTAGATTGCGTTTTTGTTTTTTGATTATAAAGTGTCATAGAATTGACTGGGGAGAATATAATTTACATTGCTGGAATTCTTATAAGATAGTGATTAATTTGAATGTAAACATGCTATAGTTTGCACTAGACAAAAATTTTAGTAATCGTTTTGTACATTATTTTGATTACAGGTACTACTCGACTTACAACCTACTCGACTTATGACCACCTGGACATACGACCGCCGCAGTTGTATAAAATATTTTTCAAATTACGTATTTTCGAGTCCCGATGTTAGTGATCGCGCTGTGTACTGACAAAATTTTCGTTTATAATTCCCTTTAAAATGGCTGGCAAGTGTAAAAGTGAGAGTTCTCGTGGTGCTGAGAAGAAAACGAGACACCCATTTTTTATTTTCTATGTATTATTTTAGCATTTTCGACTTACGACCTGGTCGTCAGTCCCTAACCCCGTCGTAAGTCGAGGACTGACTGTACATGTACAGTACAGCTTTGCCCTTAGGACAGTGTGTGCATGTAAATGAGTTTCAATAAATGAATAAAGTTACATATATCAGCCAAAAATATTAGTTGAAAAACTATATGTAGACAGACCTTGGATGGCTAAATTTTAGAATAACCAATAATTTTAATATAAAAAATGCAAAAATATTCAAGAACACAACCTTCTTGATATTTACTTCACTGGAAACGAATGTAAACATAGAACAAATTACTGTATTGGCGGACTAGCTGATCAGCTGATGCTCACAACAAAACGTGTTTGTCGTAAGGATTTCGTTAATCGAAGTTTTGTTCGTTAACCGAATTGAAGATCCTTATGGGAGCTAATTTGTTAACCAAAATTTCGTTAATGAAACCGTTCGTTAACCGAGGGACCACTGTGTATATATACATTGCCACAAAACTTGAGTGCTCCCCATCACAACCGCGAACATGCTTCCAACTTTAAAAGTACCCACAGACATTCTTGAGTACATCCAGGGTGTCATACGTGAATAATCAGAGGCCACATATTAAAACCCATGAATTTTAAAGTCATTCTGTAATTTAAGATTTTCTTCAATAAATAATTTGAACTGGCCTAAACTGTATGTTCAGTGAGTTACCCTGGATTGTGGCTGCTTCATAATCAAAACCCTGTGTTATTCTGTATAGCCAAATGTGTGCTAAAAGGATTACATTGCATAAAAAAATGCACTCAAAGGCTTACCTTTTGCAAGTTGGTCTGAAGATTTAAATTCTCATGCTTCAAGCCTTGTTCTGTATAACGAGACTTCTCCAGCTCTCCTTCTTTAAAAGCCAGATCAGTACGCATCACATCAAAGTCCTGAGTACTGCAATTACAATTTTTTTTATTGTACATATATAATTACCATATAAATAGCCACCACAAAAAAAAAGGGTAGATGAAAAAGCAAATAAGAGTTTAACCCTTAGATGATTGTAACTGGAGATAATCCAAAGATCACTTACTCGTCTGGTTTACAACATTGTCATACAAGGTAAGATCTGCACAGTGGAAAGAATAGGTTGCATGATGTCACGCTCATGTTTTATTGTGAACAGTGAACTCTAATCCCCTTAAAAAAAAAAAAAAAAAACACGGGAAATTAAGGTTTGTTTACATCCGGCAGTTCGACTACTCTCTCTCTCTCTCTCTCTGCTTGTCTTTACAGAGTACAACATTTAACCCTTCAATATATATTAGTAGTAAATAAGTGTTGCTTTCATATTCTTATGTAGAGTAATGACGATATGTTTTCACATGTGCGCACTTACATACAGTGGGGTATGCTATAACGAACGGATCCTACTACGAATATTCCTATAACGAACGGTTTTACCTATAAAATTGAGAATGCTATAACGAACGAAACTACTACAACGAACATTATTTAATTTTTTTTTTTTTTTCTAATTTATTTATTTTATTACAAATATTAATGATATTCTTTATTTCAGGGGTTTACATGCATATTTATGCACTATTTTACAATTTTTACAATTTTATATTATATTTTTCAGTGTTAAGTGGTTGTATTTGGGGGCCTGGAACGGATTAATCCTATAACGAACGAATGCTATAACGAACAAGGTTCTAGAACCAATTAGATTCGTTATAGCATACCCCACTGTACGTGCAGTCTCACTTCTTTTTTTTACCATTAATGGTTAGCTACTTCTATTGTTCCATTTATTAACATTAAATAACATTACTTAAAACAACCATATTAATTTTACCACAGCTACAGCCAAGGTCTTATTTTGTTCAGTTTTATATGTAGAACCAGTCAGTCACTGGTTTTGTAATCAACGAAAACAATGCTGTGTCATTTCCTCGTGTGTTTTAATATTCTACGTATTATTAATGAATTGTATTGCTCATTTTGCACACATAAACATTAATTCAATAAAAAATACATTCAGTAATAAACAATAATGAATCTTTTGTACATAAGAGAAATGACGCTGTTTACACGATTGTGCACGTCGTCTGCACGTTGGAGAGCCGTTCAAACCCGTCGAAATTCAAGTTTCCGCCGTCAAAATTTTTATTTATTTATTTTTTTGTGTGTTCCAATAAAATACATTAAGAATTAAAACTCACGAAATTTGAGAAGCTACTATACGACATTTAACTCTTCAATATGTCTTCAAAGAGACCATGATGCAGAGAAAGTGGTGCTAGTGCTTCCAAGCATAAGCACAAGTCATTATCTATCCAGGAAAGGGGTGAATTTCCATGGTCCGGCACCGGTCAGGTCCCGAGGTTGCCGGACTAGAGAGGTACAACCTGTACTAATAATAAAATATAGAAAAACAAGCCAAATTATCACAATCTATTATCACAAACTTACGGCAAATTTGCCGAAGATTTACCGGGCAAATAATGGCTTACATGGCAGATCGCAGCAACACAAAACATCACAGCCAAAAATACGAGTTTCACATCCTGTCGGTAATTCTCTTGACCAACATATAAACAAGCCACACAGCTGCTCTGACAGAGGTAGAGTTGGGTTAGTATAATGTTACTATATATGATTTCCCACTTGATTCCAGTAATATTGTATTTATTTGCACAAAATCATATGTTTTTCCCCACAAAACCACTTTAAAATCACTTTCAATAATTGTATGATGAAACCTACTAAAAATAAATAAATAAAATATCCTTGTAAAATAGGGGTGCGTGCGTCTTATACTCTGGCAAATACGGTAAGTACCAGAAGACATTGTGAATTATCAAATTGCAAACTATAGTTTAACTCAGGCATGGGCAATCTTTCCCCAGTCATGGGCCACATTACAATTTAGGTATTTTTCTGTGGGCCAGCCCACCGAAATATATATCCTACCTAACCCAAAAGTAATGTTATTATTGTATTAGCACGAACAGTGAAGCAGTGTATCACCACGTCTATCTTAAAACATTTTAAACTTAACAATCACAGTCTTTTAGTTCAATCCAGAATGTGACGTCTAGCTTTATAACTAGGTATGTAAATGCCTAGCATTAACTCGCCAGGCCAAAATACAGGCAATTAAAACATCAAATAATTACTTAAATACGTAATATTAGGAGGACACGTTGCTACCTGGCATTTAATTGCAATTCTCAAAACCCCCAACCCCACCCTCCATCACACGCACTGCCACCATCACCTTCTTGCCTGGCGAATAAGCTGTAAATACGCATAAGGAAAGCTCCGCTAATTTGTGTTGTAATAGCTGAAATACTAAGTGCTACGAGGATTTTATATTTGGTATTTATACATCTTAGCACGGTGAGGAAATCGAGTGACTTATATTTTGTTTATGTCTCTCAGATATTGTGTTTGGGGCAAATTTTATACGGTTTGATCAAGCACGGCACGCACGCTCGTTTTCTATCTAGGAAGACAGTGGATCTTTAGTGACTAATGTCCTCTGCTTTTAAGTCACTTAATGAATGACGTTGTTTTTTGCCCTTCCGGTGTTCGACTTATGAACACCAGGACATATGACCGTCGCATTCCAGTCGTAGGAAAAAAATCAAATTACGTATTTTTGAGTCCCAATGATAGTGATCGGGCTGTGTACTGACAAAATTCTCATTTGTAATTCCCTTTAAAATGGCTGGTAAGCGTAAAAGTGAGAGTTCTCGTGGTCCTGAGAAGAAAAAGAGACACCCAGAAATTTATGTAAATCTACCCAAAAATACAGTTGAAAAAAGTGTACATTATAAAAATGTACTATATACTAAAATTTTTATCTCTTGTGCAAAGTATATGACGTTTATATTCAAATTAATCACTATCTTATAAGAATTCCAGCAATGCAGTTGGACGTGAATCTTCAGTTTCCCTCCGTGATCTTGCTCCATGCCCTGGTGGAACCTCATCCTCAGACATCTCTGCCGGATCAACCTCACCTTCAGTGGAGCCAGAAACATTGGATAATGGTGAGAGAGTGTTGCTGCAGAGGGAGATACCAGGACGACATTGCTCGGGTTATACATGCCTCTTACAACAGTATCCTGGGCTAGATATCGAGGTCGGATGTGAGAAGGGTGTTATCCAGAACACATCATGTTTTCTCTGGGTATTCTAATTTCCTCTTGTACTAACACTGGTTAATGAAAGTCGCAGCAGAAAATAGATGAGTGAAACAGGGAAGAAACCAAATGCCAAAGTGGCTAGTAAGCTGACAAGTGGTGAAAAAAAATTGCGCGGTAACAAATTATGGAGGTTTTAGTGTGTAATGTATATGACCTTCAAATCTCACAGGACAAAAGAAGAACTTCAATGCTTTTATACTTATTCTGAGACTATTAAGGACTTTTCCTGAAGTCTTGGAATATATATGAAAACTCAGAAGGTTTCATTTCAAATTTTCCTGCATACATATACAACATAGTTCTTACCTTGGTAGATGTTTAAAGTGGGCAAGATGACGAGATAGTTTTTCGAGAAGAGCAACATTATTATTTTCCAGAATTTCTAATCGACTGAGTTCCTCCTGTTTATTCTGCTCAAAAGTTGTCAGGAATTGTTCCATTGTTTCTTCCCGCTTCCGCAGTTCACGGTACTTCTGACTTCTCTCACTCTGATTTTCTTCTAACTCCTAAAAAATTAAGTATTGTAATGATAGTGGCATTATAGTACTAAGGTAAAACTTTTGTTTCAGTTGATCAATACACAGTGCTCTAGACTCAAAATTCATGATAGCCAAGTTTAATCTCTTTGTGGAATTGACTGGCCATTATTCTGGTGTGATGAACATTTAGTTCATTCATTATTAATTAAAGTTGAGAAAAGATTGGCCATTACATAATTTTCTTTTTACTGTTATATAAGATCAATGCTAAATTTTTTTTTTTTTATGACATCATTCCCATTAAAATAAATTTACTTTACAGTACAGTATATAGAAATTAAAACTTACAACAATCCTTCCCTGAATCTTACTGAATAATATTAATATTTTCAACATTAAAAAAACACCATAGCTAAGATGCTAATACTGTAGACTCTTAACCAATCAAACATAAGTATGGTATGATTATGCCCAGGCAGGGTTGGAGTTGTACCACTTCCTGTCACACTGGCACATCAAGGCCCCAGCTAAGCTATTTCTTCTTAGCTGGGGTTCTTTCCTTACAAAACTAAGAGAGAAAGCATAAGGGATATGAGCTCTTCAACTGCATTAGTCAGCTCTATGAACACCTTTCCCGACTGACCGACTTACACAGAAATTTTCTCATTAGCTTAGCTCTTGGTCATTCTTGTGACCTAATACCCTCACCTGATCTAGTAGTTGGACCTCTTCATGACACCGCTTCATTTGCTCGTGGACTTCATTTAACTGACGCTCCATTGTGGCAATTTCTGCATTGTCCTCCTTCAACTGGGAATATAGATATACAGTAGGTCACATACCAGATGTCACACATTCTCTGAACTTCACATTTTCCTTCTATTTTTATCTTGCCCTGTTTTACCATTACAGTATACACTTATCCCCCCTATATTTATGAGGGTTATGTTCTTGGAAATCATTGCAAATCGTGAATTCACAAATATAGTCCAATCAAATTAGCTCAAAAATAGGCATATGGTGGAAAAAAATATATCAAGATGAAATTTTGCATACATACGCCTGAAGGCTATAGAAATCAAGGGGTGCTTTGCTTACTTTTTTGCATTTTCCGGCTAAACCATGCATCAAACGATAATATTTCGAAGAGATAAAAATACTGGAAATATAATTTTAAACAAGATTGTATCTATTAATTTTTTCCATAGGTGTTACAGTTTTTGTGTAATCCAGGTCTGAATTTGGGGGAACTTTTCGCGTATGTATCGTAGAAAAATTGATACTCGCACAAGGTTTTTGGCAAATAACTAAAAAATGCCTACTTTTTCATTAAAAATTTAAATAGTTGAAATACTAGAGCTGTTACCTGAGTGAAACTACTTGGCATACAGTCAGTATGGCATCCTCAAGTGATTATCTTTACTGTGGTAATAGTTTAGCAGATGAAAAACAATGGTTGTGAAGGACGGCATGAAGAACTTAAGATGTGTAAGTCAAATCCGAAAAGACAGTCATTAAAAAAATTTATAAAAGTGGACACCATTGAAATGCATATAGTGTAGTACTGTACTGTAATTTGCAGACGTGAGTGCATCAAAGAAAAAAATATTGCCATGGATTTGAGAAAAAGCAGAAACTAGTAAACAGAATCAGTGTACTATGTTGCGGTCACAAGAACAAGAGTTTTGTGGGATTCAAATCAGCAGTAGTTTTCAGCATATTGAAATAAGGATGGAAAGGTTCTTCAGAAGTTTGATGTATGGCTTCAGCAGCATTCTCCATTCATCCATACAGAAGACCTCGTTTTGTTGTCAAGTGGTCTGTTTGCAACTGAAAACATAAACTGCTACAAAGCTCTAGATATTGGCAAGAAATTGATGAATGAAGCCATTAAAGGCAAAGACCTCATTACCGTGTTCTTTCGAGTAGCCTACGACATCGAGCTTAAACATAATGTTATAGCAATGCCTTCATTGCTTTTGAGCCATGGGTTTGAACTCTGTAGGAAATTTAAATAAAACATGCTCGGGGAATAACCCAACTCTACCTTGTTTATATTTTGGTCAAGAGAATTACCGACAGGATGTGAAACGTATTTTTGGCTGCGATGTTTTGTGTTGCCACAATCGGCCACCAGGGTGTAGCACCATCGCTATTGTTTTGGTGTCATCGACTCACTGCAAATGGCTGACAGGTGGCTGAACTTTCTGTTAACATTTCTTTAATCTTTCTAGGGGCATTTTTCATTTAGATAATAAACAAATGTTTCTTAAAGGTAATACAGTCCTTAAATAATGTAAGACATGTATCTGGTGTGGGTTACGTATGCTGGGGAAGGAGGTACAGTGAGATGTTGTGAGCTTCCTTCCCCCGTTAAGCCAATGTAAGCCATTATTTACATCTTCGGTAAATTTGTGATAATTTGGCTTGTTTTTCAGTATTTTATTATGCGTCCGTAATACGGACGCATTAGACGCAGGCTAATTTGTGATACAGTACATTTTGGGGGGGAAACAACAAGTCTTAAACGCCAGCAAATACGGTAACTATAGTAATATCTCCATTAGCCGGAATCTTTCAAACCCGGAGCTCTCCGATAACCGGAATTGAAATTTTCTCGGAAAATTGTTCCCAAAGCCAGAATTTTCCAGAAAATTCCGGCTTTGAGAATGATTTTTTGAAGGGCACATTTTACGGAAAATTCTGAGAAAATTTTCCCGATACCCAGAAAATTCCTGGGACGGGGGAGTTTTTTCCGGGTTTGAGAGATGAAAATCAGGCACCTTTTCCGGAAATTCCGAGAACATTTTTCCGGTACCTGGAAAATTCCAGGGGTGAGGGATATTTTTCCGGTTTCGAGAGATGATGTAATGGGCAATTTCTTGAACTTTTGAGAACATTTTTCAATTACCCAGAAAAGTCAGGAAAATTCCAGGGATGAGGTTTTTTTTCTGGCTATGAGAGAGTTGTCTTATTACCCAGAAATCTTTCATTCCCGGAAGTGCTCTGCACCAATTGTTCCGGCTAACAGAGATATCACTGTATTCACTACATACAGATTCCCATTATGCTGTGTTGTCACAAAACACAACCATAGCATTAAGTGAGGGTCAGGTGTATACTGTACAGTATCCACACAGTATAAGGTGAATCCTGTCTTCATGCTGAGATGTAATGCTTCTTATTATTTTACAGTAAATACTAAGTTGACTACTTACATGAACTTAATATTGTCATACCAACAACAATTCACTTAACAGCTACCCGGTAGATTTCTTTCATCTTTACCTGGAGCAAAAGTCTCTCTCTCTCTTCCTTTGGAGTTCCCCTCTTCTGGTTCTCAGCAATGATCTCTGCTCTTTTCTCTTCCAACTCCTGAAGTTTCTCATACAAGCCAACAGCTTCCTGCTTCACCTGGGGCATCAAACAGTATCAACATGCATCCTCTACCATATATGTACCAGTAAAGAAGTCATAAGGATTTCAGACCAAATATAATTGCTATTCTGTTGTACTGTACTTCTATCCACTATGTTAATAAAGACATTTTTCTATTTCATTATTTTTATACCAGATACTTTAATTAGCCTTTTTTGTAACCCTTCATTAACTTGCCATAAATTGCTGAAAGATGAAAAACAACCAATCTAATTCAATACCTTTGATGTAGAAAGTTCATCTTCTAGTGTAGCTTTGCGGTTATCAGATGCATCTAACTGGTGTTGCATCATATCAAGGTGTTGCAGGAGACTGGTGTTCAAATTCCGCAGATCAAGGTACTTATGACGAAGCTCTGGGTGCATGGCCTCCACAACGGTCTCTCCCACATGCCGCTCCTGTGCAGTTTGAGAAAATCGTTATGTTAATTTGTTCTTAATTGGTAGTCATATTCCCCTTCAACTTTTGTGGAGGTTGGATCATGATGTATAGGGCCAGATCCAGGCCGAAGCAATTGATGCAAAAGTATCATATGCATCAGTTAAATAATTAACCTATCGGAACTGTAATCTCATTCTCAGTGTTGACCTGCATGGCCCACCTGCTTCTGACCATTGCTGTCACTTACCATATCTGAGTGCCAGGTGTGACAAACTGTCCCCAGGGAAGGGATAATCAGAGTGGGGCCTGGGGGTGACAGAAGGTCACAGGTAAGGTTACACTCACATCACCTTTTAACCCACATCACCTGTCCTCCAGTTGGGTTTCCCCCCTTGAGGCATCACGCAGTGGCCACCTTTGACAATGTCAGGTAACCAAGGTTGGATTAAGGTTGTGATGGGCCTAAGGCTGATAAGAGGGAAGAGCCTATACAGTGATCCCTCGGTTAACAAGCGCCTCAGTTAACGAGATTTCGGTTAACGAGTTACCTTCTATAAGATTCTTAACTTCGGTTAACGAGCAATCCCTCGATTAACGAGTTTTTTACGAGCCGACCTCAACATGTTTTTGCTTGCATTTGGCGGTCCACCAGCTGTAGTATTAGTCCGCCAATACAGTAATCAGTTTTAGGGCTTAAATTCATTACTATTTTAGTAAATATCAAGAAGTTTATACTATTCAATAATTTTAAAAGTTTAATATTAAATTTTTTTTGTAATTTTAACAATTATTGAACATAATTGAAGGTAAGGAAACTAGTTTCATGCTCGCCATCCAGCCTGGCAACACAGCAAACAGGCGCCAGTCTCTATCTTTTCAGTGGAGATAACATCTTGCTTGAGACTCTCTTAACCTAAATGCTTTTTTTCTGTGTTTGCAAGCAAATTATTGGTCATTTTGAAATTTATTTTACATATTGACAATATATAATGCAGTGCAGTGTTGATTTGAAAATAATATGGAATTACACCAAGAGAACTAAAATTTTATGGGTGAAATGGCACCATAGGGTGACTTCTCTTCCACCCCAATGCCTTCTCTTCTCCCTTCTCCTCCACCCCCATTCTAATTCCCATCATCATCATCCAGGAGCCTTCTACATACACACCTCAAAGTAAGTGTACTTTTCTACATTTTTTGTTGAATTAGGCAATTTTCTGTGAGCTGGAACCAATTACCCAAAAACCCATTGAAACAATAGTTTTGGTTAACGAGCAACATGCTGGAACGGATTGTGCTCGTTAACCGAGGGACCACTGTATATGTACTACCATATATTACTGTACAGTACTGTATATGCACAAAAAAGGGGGTATTTAATCTAGTAGTATATAATAACCATAGACTTATAGAGCATTAATAAATGTAACAAGTCATTTACTTAACCACCTTGTAAAGTTGTGAACTTGTGACAAAGATTTAAGTTTAAGAAAGCACAAATTAAGGCCTAAACTCGAGGGCCTAAGGCTACAGCCTTTTTAGCCTTATGGTTAATCTAGCCCTGCAGGTAACACATCTGTCGCCAGGATTCCTTACATGGATTTCTGTGCACACCTGCTGTAAAATCACTAATACAGTACAATAGTTTTATTTCTTACCAGCATAGATTACCACATGTGAAGCATCTTTCAGAGATAGATGAAGATAGCTGTTTTGAAAGGTTTTTTGAAGATTTCCCAAAGCCCAATTCTTTGATCTGACTGAGGCTTATATGCCACAGAAAGGCCACAGACCCTGCATATTTCCTGGTGTCATGTGCCAAAATTTTTTTGCCAGGGTCTGCTTGACTCACTAACTGAGATAAATATTATGTCATTTGACTAGGAGACAATTTCTTACCATCCTGTGATGAGAATACATAGGGGCCTCGATTAGGGAATCTGGGTAACCATTCTTGAAGATTCTTAACTGGGCACAATATATGAGGAACCCTTGTCTCATCCATTAGCCGTTTTATCCTGATAGGTTGAGCTTGAAAATCCTCCCTTTCATTTTTTCTTAGAATCTCCGTAGGAAAAAGGCGTGACATCTTCCTCAGAAAATACCAATAATGATGGATTACTGAAAATTGAAATCAGCTCACTGATTCTCATACCTGTTACTATTGCTTGAAGGAAGGCTGCCTTCTGGAGCAATTTATCCCGGTTCAGATTTATATTGTAATTAGGCCCCATAAGAAATTTAGTACAGTAACTTTATCTAGAGAACAAGGTGGGATTATCTTAGGCCGAGGGGGTCTCTCAATGAAAAAGGACGATCTGATCATTTGATAAATTCTTGGGTTCAAAGTAATATTAAAACCCCATGCCAGAGGGTCAACCAATGCTGATTTATAAGAAGCAATTGTAGATCCTTGAAGGCCTTTAACTCTGAACAAAAAATCTAAAAATTCTAACACCACTGTTTCCGACAATGTGCTCAGAGTCGTTAACCTGATAAATTGTTGAAAAAGTTTCCAAGCTTTCTCATATTGCATAGAAGTTTGGGGTCTTCAAGCTAACTTCATTTTAGAGTACTTTTATTTTGAGGGATCACCAAGTTCTCTATTTGTTGCCAATCAGGGTTGCTTCAATGACAGTAAGATCTTGTATTTTGCGAGTAATATAGACTGAAAAAATTGTGCCAAATTCAAATTCGCCAAATGCAAATACATAAACTTATGGGAAAAATAACAATATAGACTGGCCACTTTACATCAACCTCTGATTTTCCCATTTATAACCTCCAAATGATACAAATTCTGCCCTTATTGACTTAAGTGGTCCAGTCTTGTCTGAGTGAACTTAATTAACATTTTGTTTACTCCTTATGTTAATAAATATTGAATTAGTAAAATAGGAGTATCACCGCTTATTCCTTCTACCCATTGGTTCTCAGAAAATAATTATTGTAACTCACGTGCCTAGAAGCTCGCTAACACGCTACCTAACAGTTACATGAGATAAGTTATGTTCTAATAAAAGTCTGGGTGGTGGCAGGCTACCGTGGTAAGTAGAATAAGTGTTGTAATAAGAATGACATGGTTCCCCAGACTGATCCATGGTTTAGAATATAACTACATTAATACCTGTACTGTGGATAATATGAAGGAGGATGAAAGGGTTTGTGTTTTGGTGGCTATATGAATAAAGATTATTTGTGCCCCCATAAATTAACAATGAAATGATCATACTTTACCTCCTCAATTTCTGCTTCCAGTTGTCTCATCAAAGACTCCAAATCCTGCTTATGACTAAATAGTGTTTCCAAGTTTTCTGCCTCATGCTGATTGGATTCTTTAAATTCCCGAGTCTCGTCATCTATCTCAACCCGTTCAGTATCTGTGTTTATTAGGTCCACCAGCAGGTTGTAGTCAGCTAAGTTCCCTTGCATCTCTGTTAATGGGTGTTAATACTTGTATTAGACAAATAAGACAGCAATACTGTAATTGGAAATAGATTAAATCATGTACAGTAATACCCCGCTTTACGCGGTTCTCGTTTACGCGTTTCCACATTTACGCGGTACCCCGCCAGAACCGGAATTCCCACTTTACGCGGTGCATCTACTCATATACGCTGGAAGCAGCGCGGGCAAGGTGCGCACAAGGTCGCCCAGTCATCAAAACATTACCGAGTTCTTCACCCACCACAGCAGGCCCAAGTCAGTGATAGTGAGGATATGGACTTATATGACTTTGAGGGGTTTGACAAAGAGGCCCTGCAAGCCTCTGTGGTGGATAGTGATACAATTGATACAGGTGAGGGCCAATAATCTGCCCTCTGCCTCGGAACCAACCCCCCCCATCCCTGTGTGATCAGCCATCTTTTCTACTAATGTAAGTGTTAAAAAACCTAATATTATTGATATTTCTCTTAATTATTAGTTGTGTGTGCATACCATCATAAAATTAAGATGTTATTTTTACTACAATGTAGGTATTGTGTCTGAAAAAGTGGAGTTTGGGGGTCGGCCCAGTCTCTTATTTCAATTAATCCCATATGTTCTGTTGTTCCATTTACGCATTTCCCGTTTTACTTTTTACTTTTACTTTTATCCTCTTCGCCACTGATCGGCTTGTTAGCCGCTTGGGCGATCGGTCCCGTCTCTTTTCATTTATATTCTTCACCAAAAGATCGGCTCGCTAGCCGCCCGGGCGATTGGTCACGCGCGGGCCTCCCTGGGTTCAATTGACCGCGTAAATCGGGGTATTACTGTACAGTACAGTACAGTACAGTACAGTACAGTATTATATTATACAGTACTGCATAAGGGTAATTTACAATGTCAAGCTTATCTAGAAACCTGTAAACTGTAAAAAGAATCTATGATGAAGTGTATACTTTGAGTGGAATGTTGGAGAACTGGGGATGCATGTGAGTGAAACATATCAGTTAGAGGTGACATCATAGAGCTATAGCATGTACTGAATCCCAGTTTTCCACAGGAAATACTGTACAGTACTGTACAGGTATTTGACATATGTTGAGCCTTCTATTCTGAGGGGTGTAGGAACATTGTGATTTGAAATTTCTTTGCACTCATAGTTTTCAAATCTGCAGACACGAAAAATGTATGGCTGTTTCAAGAACATTTTGTAATTTTTAACCGATATACGATCAGATTAAAATCTAGCCTGATTATTAATAAAAATAATCTAATAAAGTAAAATATTTTAAGTACAGTATGTCAAGACTGACGTTAAATATATAGGGGATTATGTTATGGACAATCCAAGTAAGCTGACAGTAATATGCTCCAGTTTACAGAGAAAACCCAAAAGCAACACAATACTAAATGCTGTGTGTAACAGTATGTGTTCACTTAAAATCAAACATGCAGTTTATCCCCAAACTCCCTCCTCAGTCCAAAAAGCATGATGATAAATTTAATCTATTTGTGGAAATTTCATGAGAAAAATAGCCAACTAATTGCCAGTTTTATATTATCTCTGGGAGGAATGTTGTTCCTGCCAAGATTCAACAATATCTGCAAACCCTTTTGAGGATTATCATTTTCACATGAACCATTAGTGATAAACACAGATTGAGGAAAATGTGCCTTGTAGCACAGATTTCTTGTGTGTGACATGTTGGTTAGAGGGTGCAGAGCGAGGAAGAAGGAACAGAATGTAAGTGAATCCTTTTATGCTGAGTTAAGTAGACTGAAAACATCCAGTGAGAATGAGAGAGGTAGTGTAGGGAGATACTGGGCCAAAATAAAAGATGTTCCGCTGAGCATAGTTGACAAGATGTGTGGCTGGACAGAGAGCCCAACCAGGCATGCAATAACATGCTGATGAAGTAGATAGAGTGATATAGGAGAAAAGAAGATTGTATAAATCCCAGTAGATGGGTGGTAACAAGGTGGAGTACCTGGAGGCCATGCTTAGCACTAGAAGAGAGACATAAGGTGAAGAAGCATGAACAGGGCACATACTGTATTTGCAGATATGTTGAATAGTGCAGATGAAAGAGGAGAGTTTTCAGAATAGCAGGCTAATAGTGGGTATAAACAATGATGTTGGTGAGACTTTTGTGAAAAATTGCCATGGCAGTGTAGTTGTTGATAACAAGGAAATCAAGGATACCTGGAGAAAATACTATAGTAATCGATTACTAAATGAAGAGTTCAAATGGATCAGGTGCAGCCTAATGGTAACAGAACCAGTACATAGACCATGCCTAGGGTTTGAAAGAGAATGGGTGTAGAAAGCAATTGACAAAATGAAGAATGAAAAGGCAACTGGAAGCTCTGGGATAGATGCAAAAATGCTGAAAGCATGCATTTGTGATGGAATGTACTGTTCCAGATGACTAGAGGAAGACTATCATCATGAATACTTACAAGGGTAAAGGTGATGCACTTGAATGCAGGAACTACAGGGGCCCAAAGTTGCTAGATCAGGCTATGAAAGTTGTAGAAAGAGTGATTGAGAAATAGATAAAGGAGAGAATGGACATAAATGAAATGCAGTTTGGGTTTATGCCAGGTATGAGAACTACAGTGGCAATATTTATAACCAGGTAGCTACATGATAAATATCTAAGGATGGAGAAAAAAGTGTATTTTCTATTTGTATATTTAGAGATGACATTTGACAGGGTACAATGTGCAGTAGTAAAGTGGGCTATGAGGAAGCTAGGAGTAAAGGTCTGTCTTGAACCCCTTTCTGTTCATCATGGTGCTGGAGGCAATATCATGGGACTTTAGGACTGGCCTGCCCTGGGAATTATTGTATGCTGATGACTTAGTGCTGATAACATATAGTACAGTGGTCCCTCGGTTAACGAACCCAATTCGTTCCAGAAGATCGTTCGTTAACCGAAACCATTGTTTCAATGGGATTTGGGGTAATTGGTTCCAGCTCACCAAAAATTACATACAAAGTAAAAAAAAAAAAAAAAAAAATGCAGTAAAGTACACTTACTTTGAGGTGTGTATGTAGAAGGCTTTTAATTGATGATGATGATGATAATGGGAATTAGAAGTGGGGGTGGAGGAGAAGGGAGAAGAGAAGGAAGTGGGGGTGGAAGAGAAATCACCTCATGCTTCATGCCGTCATTTCACCCATAAAATTTTAAGTTCACTAGGTGTAATTCAAGATTATTTTCTTTTAATCAACACTGCACTGCACTGTATATTGTCAATATGTTAAATAAATTTCAGAATGACCAATAATTGAACTGTAAAAACGTAATAATACTCTGTTCAAGAGACCCACAAGCAAGATGTTTCCTCCACTGAACAGAGACACAAACTGAGGCCTTGGTGGGTGAGTGAAGTGGCTGTTGGGTGCACCAAAAACTAGTTCCCTGTACTGCAATTATGTGAAATAAGTGTTAAAATGACTAAAAAATTTAATATAAAACTTGGAAAATTATTGAATTGTACAACCTTCTTGACATTTACTCCAATTTTAACGAATGTAAGCCCTAAAACCGATTTCTGTATTAGCATTCTAATCTTCCAGCTGGTGAGCAAGCCAAAGCATGTCAAAACATTTTTGTAAGAATTTCGTTAACCGAATTGAATATTCTTATGGAAGGTAATTCGTTAACCGAGGCACCACTGCATTGAAAAGACAAAAGAGAAATTTAACCCCTTAAATATGATAACAAATTCACCGTCATCAGAGGGTTTAAACATCACACTAAAGGGATTAGGTTAATGTACTGAAGAGTTTAGAGTTTTGTAATCAAGAAGTTTAATTCATCATACTCAAGGGGGCAATTCATTGTAGTCAAGGGGCAATGACATTGTTCTTAAGATATTAAGAAATAGAAGGTTGGAAAAGAGTCAAATGAGCTCAGAGTGAATGTGACAAAAACAAAAGTATTGATTAGTTGTGTGAGTGAGAGACCCATGGTGGAAAGTGGAAAATTACCATGTGCTGTCTGTACGAAAGGTGTTGGCAGCAACGACTGTGGAAGGTGTACAAGAGGTGCAGGGGAGTAGATGGCAGACTGCAGATTGTTGCTATCTTTAACTGTTCTGTATGTGCAAGCAACCATGTGCCCACAGCAAGCCTGGAGAAACTTGACATTGGGGACATGTCCCTGGATTATGTCAATGAGCTTTATTACTTGGGTGACATGGTCAATATGGGTGAGTGTGCTGAAGTTGCAAGTCAGAAGTGGTTGGAGGAAGTTTAAGGAATTGCTTCCTTTATTGATGGGAATAGGACCTTCCCTCCATGTGAAAGGAAGAATGTATGCAGCTGGTGTGAGAAGTGTGATGTTGTGTGGCAGTGAAACATAGGCAGTTAAAGGGGATGACACATGTAGACTTGAGCATCTGAAATAAGAATGGTGAAGTGAGTGTGTAATGTGACACTGAAAGACAGGAGGCCCTTGGGTATTGAGAGTATTTGCGAAGTTCTGTGCAAAGGCAGGTTGAAAGGTTTAGGCATGTGGAGAGAATGGGTGAGACCAATTGGGTCAAGAGGTGCAGGAGTCTAAATGTGGAGAGGAGGAAAGTCAAGGGCAGAACAAGAATGACGTGGGGAGAGGCTGTAAGAAATGACAAGAGAGACTGCAGGAGACCGTGCAGCATGGAGAGCTGCTATAAGGCTAAACCGTGCAAGTGTGGAAAACAGCTGTAAAGAACTGATGATGAGTGCCAAGTGATATCTCTCAGGAAGCTTATGCTCTTACCAGTGAGTTCGTGTGCCATCTCCTTCACTCTCTTGTCATAAGTCAAGAAGGTTGATTGCTCTTGTTTCATTGAGTCAATCTCTCCACTCAGATGACTCACTTCAGTGCCCAGTTCAGTGATTTTTGTTCGAAGAAGACCCATAAAATAACTCTTGTCTCGTACCTGAAATTTCTCAAAGATAATGTTCAGCTCATTATTTGATGTACAGTACTCAACATCCCCAAATATCCTACTGTATACAGACTTCTCCTGGCCAATACTGATGGCTTTTGGGGCTATCCTTTGGCAGATTAGCCAATCAAATACTGTACTGTAGTTCATCAGCTGCAATAAATTTAGCCTTGGACTCCTTGAGTCTTGCCATCAGCACATGACCCCTAGCAATGCAGTCTCCAGGTGTGCCAATAGACTAGTATAGAGGGTACTGGGATATGTAAGAGAGTAGTAATTACATTAAAAAAAACTGTTTTAGACACCATTATATTCTGATGTAGAGAAGCAAGAAACACACAACATTTGGTAGTCTTAACAACACTACAGACACACCTGCCTCTGTGGTCCTCTTGATCCTGTCTTCATGCCAGTTAGTCCTTGCTGAGTGATTGGTCGATCCACAACATTTATCTAAAAAATAAAAATAATAATGTTAAATCAGCATTTAATATCTAGAACTGAAAATGTGTATATAAACTTTCAACTCATACTTTGTATAACTAAATTTGTAATACAGTACACAAATATTCTTCATGTAAATGACAATGTTGTTGAGTCATTTCATGTGACAATCTTAGTTGACCTGTCTTGCATTTGATTCTTGTACAGTATTTGGTGTTTCCTTAGAATATATTATATGGTCTAATTTTGTTTTAATTTGTACATGCTTGTAATACTACACCTGTACAAAATATATTTTCAGTGTCTAATCCTTGTTTTTAATTCATAATACAGTACAGTAGAACATTGATATAACACGAGATACATTCCAAGAGAGGTCGCTTTAAACCGAATTCACACTAAATCGAAGTGTTGTTTCAATGGAATAATTTAGTTTGGTACTTGAGAGAAACACAAAATACTAAAAAGACGGAGAGTCTACCCAGATGCACCACAGCCCATCCCCTAGAATAAAGAAAACATTGCTTTTTGTAGTATTATGTTAAAACAAACACTCATTAATCAACACAGCTAAAATTATGGAACATGAAATGGTATGTTTACTAGCAATCAGCTGATGGGAAGATGGGGGGGGGGGAGGGAGGTATTAACTGTAATTTGTTTGAAAAAATCCAAAACATTCAAATAACATTGAAACTTGTTCAGTAGCCTTTACTTGCCCAGTGCCTACAAATTGTAAGAGTTTGAGAAGTTAGTAACATACAAAATGGTAAATGATAAAAAAAAGGTGACAAGACAAAAAGGTTAAGTGAGTAATAAATTACTTACTGGGGTGTTAAAGCCTATGCCAGTAGCTACACCAGTTCTTGTTCCAGGGCGCTGCATGTTTGCTGTTGACAGGAGTCTGGAAGCTGTCCCTGGTGCGCCTCGAAGAGCAGCACTCACAGGACGAGCTGTGATAGGCCGACCTGATGTTGTAGGTCTACTATTTCCATCCCCCTACAAAAAATTAAATGAGGTATTTGTTTAAATCATTAGAAATTCAATAAAAATTTACCTCAAAGATTAAAGTAAATTCATTCTTTCTAAATATATAAGTTGGGTTAAATCTATTTCAGATACAGACCATAATATCCTAATTACAGAATGTCTAAAATACAGGAAAATATGTAGTAATAGAGACCATCATATAGCCTAGAAACTCACTGAAGATGTAATATAAAAATCATATGTGATGAGCAACAAAATATTCTGAATAATACACACAGAATTTTTAAGGGGCTAAAAGGTTAGAAACGGTTAATATACCTATATCACTATTATAAAACAGCACAATGAGGCCTGTGGCCCAGATAGCATTTAAAGAGTTCAGTCAAACTCATTCAGGTGGATTACATAACCTCTCCTGGAATGGTGGAACAGAGGCATAAGTGGATGGCCTGTGATGGTACACGTACATAAGCTGTAAAAAGAACCTGAACTGAGAGTACTCATCAGGGCTGTACTGCTTTTTTTTACCATATACAGTAGTATATAATGGCATATAAAGCAGCTCCAAATTTTCCACTTAAAATTTTAATTTTAGGCTATACAGTACTGCACTCGCTGTACTGTACTCACTGTACAGGGGTGGATCTATCGGGTGCTCTGGGGGTCTGGACCCCCCCCTTTTCATCAGAAAATTCCAATACTTTTCTTTAATACAGTACATGTACAATATTGTACTCAGTCATTTTGGTACAGTAGAACGTCGATATAACGCGAGATATGTTCCAAGAGAGGTCGCTTAAACCAAATTCACACTAAATCGAAGTGTTGTTTCAATGGAGTAATTTAGTTTGGTACTTGAGAGAAACACAAAATACTAAAAAGATGGAGAGTCTACCCAGATGCACCACAGCCCATCCCCTAGAATAAAGAAAACATTGTTTTTCGTAGTATGTATTATGTTAAAACAAACACTCGTAAATCAACACGGCTAAAATTATGGAACATGAAATGGTCTATTTACTGGCGATCAGCTGATGGGAAGAGGGGGGGGGCAGGGAGGGAGGTGAGGTGAGGATGATATGTTTGACAGTGGATGCCAAAGTCTAGTGCTTATTTATTTATCTGTCCTTAAGAGTGACTAAGTTTTCTCTTTTAAAATGTCACTAAACTGACATGGGAGAATATAATTAACATTGCAGGAATTCTTATAAGATAGTGATTAGTTTGAATATATACATGCTATAGTTTGCATTAGACATACAAATTGTAGTTCTAAGTAATTTTATTACAAAGAGCTAAAAAAATTTCTCTTGTGCAAAATATATGACATTTATATTCAAATTATTCACTGTCTTGCAAGGATTCTTGCAATGCAAATTATATTTTCCTAACTTTAGTCTGTGATATTATATAAGGTAAAAACTTTTAGCCTAAAACACCAAACCCTGACTGGGAAGATGGGGAAGAGGGAGGGACGAATAGGGATGCAAGAATGCTGTAAGAAACCTGAGAAAGTTGCTCCTGTTCCAGATGCGTGAAAACAAAAGGCCCGCCAAGCTCCGACTGTTGTTTACCACTCATTAGCAAGGCAGCTTCTTTGCGCAAGGGGCTTTTTATTTTTTTACAGTAATTTTTATTTTATTTTATAATACAGTACATATCAGGATTTAGTTATTATTTATATGATAATTTTATTTTATTTTATTTTTATTATATTTTGGTCGTAAATACAAATGAAATATGGACGTAAATTGAATTGGGTCTTAATTATGAAAAGTTGTTGGTCGAACCGTTGTTATCGGAGACTTTACTGTATATAGTAACATTATACTAACCCAACTCTACCTCTGATCAGAGCAGCTGTGTGGCTTGTTTATATTTTGGTGCAGAGAATTACCGACAGGATGTGAAACGTATTTTTGGCTGCGATGTTTTGTGTTGCCACAATCGGCCACCAGGGTGTAGCACCATCGCTATTGTTTTGGTGTCATCGACTCACTGCAAATGGCTGACAGGTGGCTGAACTTTCTGTTAACATTTCTTTAATCTTTCTAGGGGCATTTTTCATTTAGATAATAAACAAATGTTTCTTAAAGGTAATACAGTCCTTAAATAATGTAAGACATGTATCTGGTGTGGGTTACGTATGCTGGGGAAGGAGGTACAGTGAGATGTTGTGAGCTTCCCTCCCCCGTTAAGCCAATGTAAGCCATTATTTACATCTTCGGTAAATTTGCTGTAAGTTTGTGATTGTGATAAATTGGTTTGTTTTTCAGTATTTTATTATGAGTACTGTAATAATATACTGGAAGTAAAAATTTTTGTGCCTAGTGGACTATTGCTCGTCCCAGACTACCTAGCTAGGCGCCTCCCATCCGTAATACGGGCACATTAGACGCAGGGTAATTTGGGATACATTTAAAAAAAAGCGACTTATATGCCGGCAAATACAGTAACTCTAAACCACATTGTTTATACCTGTATACAAGTTAGGTGTTAATAAATCATTTTTTTAACTCTGAAACCATTTATAACAAACTCGTTTATTATTATTATTGTTCGTTACTGTACTTGGTGTTTACCACTTTGCCTTTTGAACCTGCTGATCACCCTCTGTGCTTCGCTGTTATCCCTCATTTTGCCGTAATTTCACTTAATGTTAGGTTTTTTAGGAATGCAACCCCATCATTAAATGAGGGATACCCGTACTTTATGGTCGCTTGGTGCCGGGTTAATATAATATTATCACAAAGTAATACATTTTCATGAAAAATCCAACACCCAACCCCAAATGAGTTACAGTATTGCATTGTACAGATATTAAATTCCCAGTGCTTGTTTACAAGGTTGATCAGCTGACTGTCATCAGCCTCCCTCTGAGCAATGTTACCAATGCTCTCCTTCTTTCATGCACCTATGCTGTCATTGCTTGAGATGGTTAGTGCTTACCACAACAACTAATTTCAACACTTAGTAAATAATATTGTAGTACATTAATTGTGTAAGTGCACAAGTAGCCAAATCTAGCCAAAATGTATCACTCAAAGGTAACAAATAATATTGCTAGGACTGTATCTCCATATCAAATACTACATATACAGTAAAGTACTCCGTACAGCACAATATTGTATGTTCTAATGATCCTGTTGTAAGCTGATTTGCCGAGCTTTTAAGGGGTATTACTATAAATGTTGGAATGCACATCATTATACCCCTAATCACATTAATTCAAATAGGGAAAAATTCTCCATTATAAAATGTTTCACTATCATTCACTTTCCTCTGGAAAACATCCCCAATGTATAATGAGGACCCACTTCTATTTAAGGTATTTTTTATCTGTGTGACGCTGTCGCCCTGCCTGTCATCATATAGCATTTGTCAAATAAAATATAGCATTGTTGTCAATCTCCGTCACTTATGACTTAGGGTTCACATTTTATACCCCTAGTTTGGGGTAATCTTTTTAACCTTCAAAAGTTGTCTTGTATGCCAGTACACTACAGTATATACAATGGGGTGACCAGAATCAGGAACACACACACAAAGCCTCCCTTCATTTGCTGTCATTCACTCAGATGTATAGCTGTACTAGGTGTGTTCTGATATGGTAGTCTGCTTCTACAGAAGGAAACCAAATTATTTACCCAGTTTACCCATGACTTCACACAATCTATCCTCACCCATCAGAAACACATCTTCCCCAAAAATTATTGATGCCAAGCTCTCTACTCATTCACACACATTTCATTTTTTTTTTATTGTCAATCCTTTCATTTCTAAAGCATCCCCATTCCTCCCTTATCATCCATCTTGATCTTTGCATCTCTAACTTACAATCCACATCTTGATTATATACTGTCTTACCTGTCGTGTCACTGGACGTTCCCCATACGAGGTAGTTTGGCGGGTGTCAGGTCTTTCCATACTCATGCCAGATCTAGGAGTAGCAATATCCATTCCAACTGCTCCTCTTGTCAAGGGTCGATCAGCACTTCCTTTTAAAAAAGGAAAGAAAATGTGGACAAATCTAACTTGCCAGGAAATTATAAATATTGACGCAAGAATACTTAGGTATGTACAATAATCATTAAGAGATACCAATTTTTGTTTTTAAAGGGATATGAGAATCAAGAACAAGCTGTTCTGCAAAACAATACATATTCTACTGGGCTGTGCTAGGTGGTCGTCTTTCTAAATACGGTAAACCAAAAAATATACAGTAATGCTTTGCCTTATTGTCATATTAACTTCGAACCTTGTACCAAGTTTGATGAAAAGATCTTTAACAGTTTGTATAAGATGAGTTGTAATGGAAAACTGAAGACAGACAGACAGAGAGTATAAGCTGACAATCCCCCTTCCATTTTTAACAGTACAGTCAGTTCTGCTATAACGCGATAGTTGTGTTCTTGTAAAACATCGTGTTATAGAAATTCGCATAATAGAAATAACAGGGCTTATGGAGAAAATAGGGTTAGGTGCAGATTACTACTCGAAATCGAAAAAAATTTAGTAGTTAGCCTAACACAAAGGATAGCACAGTCTAAATAAATGTTACATTCATATCTAATAATGAAATCATACAGTAAATGTAACACTTTACCTTGAAAAAATATGAATATAACTTGATGGGGGAGAAGGGTGATTTTGAGGTAGATAACATCGAACTTCTCTTCAAGGGTTATAGCCTTTCTTTTACGATCATCACTGGGAATGCGATCACCAGAACGCTTCTTGGAGAGATTCTTCTTTACCATATTCACAATTAATACCACAAAATTGGAGAAATAGTAAGCAAAAATTGCGTTACAGCAAACAAGCGTTCGCGTTATACAAATATTGTTCCTCTATTCATAAATCGCGTTAGAGCCAATTCCCGTTGTCAAAACACACGTTATAGCAGAACTCACTGTAGGAGGCTAATAATAACAATGTTAACAGAACTCTGAGGAAGATGTGAGAGACTTAATGTGGTTCTGAAGAACATGTGAGGCATGATGTACAGTAGTTCAAATGAGCTAAAGTATAAGCAGTCGTTAAAAAGTAACAGACTTTCTTACATTGGCAAAATGTTACTCAACTATAGACCGGTGAGCCTGACCAGCATAATATATAAAGTACTTGAGAGTATTATCAGAGATGCCGCAATGGAACATCTAATACGAAACAACCTTGTAAAAGATTGCCAACACGGTTTTATGCCGGGGCGCTCTTGCTTAACACAATTGCTCAAGGTATTGGATATTTGGACCCATATTCTGGAACGGGGTGGTAATATCGACAATATTTACCTAGATTTTGCCAAGGCTTTCGACAGTGTACCCCATGAAAGGCTGAAAATCAAACTGGAAGGGTACGGAATTCGGGGGAATGTCCTAGCGTGGATAGAAGACTTTCTACATGACCGCAAGCAGTGTGTGGTGATTAATGGCACGAAATCGTCATCCGTACCTGTCACAGGCGGAGTACCACAGGTCAGTGTATTGGGCCCGCTGTTGTTTGTTTGTTTCATAAATGACATGCCTGACGTTGTACACTCCTCCATACAAATGTTAGCCGATGACGCCAAGTTATTTCGGGAAATTAAGAACCAAGCGGACTGTGAAGAGCTGCAGAAGGACCTCTGTGGGCTCCAGGAATGGTCAAAGAAATGGCTGCTGAGATTCAATGTCACGAAGTGTAAGAGGATGCACCTGGGGCATACCAAAGGTAAGGAGGCATATCATATGTCCCAACGGGATGAAGAAACTGCACTGGTTGAGACTGTGTGTGAGAAGGACCTCGGTGTGTATGTTGACAATGAGCTGAAGTTCTCGGGCCATTGTGAGAAGAAGGTAAATCAGGCAAATAAATTATTGGGTCTTATAAGAAGGTCGTTCAGATATCTAGACGGTCCGTCCCTCGTAACGATCTTCAGGAGTGAAGTGCTTCCCCATCTGGTCCCCGAGATATGCTAGGGACTGTCAGTTGGTTGAAAATGTTCAAAGGAGGGCCACCAGACTGGTGCCTGCACTTCGGCACCTCAGCTACCCTGAGAGATTGGAGCGCCTGAACTTGCCAAGCTTATACTACAGACGGGCAAGGGGGGGACCTGGTTGAGGTGTATAAGCATCTCAGGGGGCACTACTCATTTGAGTGTCCTTACTTGGAGCTGGTGGACGCTCTCCCCACAAGGGGTCACAGCTCAAGATTGAAGAAGCCGCAAGTCCAGAAAACCGTGAGGGCAAACTTTTTCGGAGTGAGGGTTGTAAACTCTTGGAACAATCTACCAGAGAGTGTTGTGATGGCATATGGATAAAAAATTATTAATAAATATGACTGCTTATTTACCTGAGGTGACAGGCCGCTGGTCAAAAGTTGATGGTATGGCACCACGGTTAACTGGTCCCTCCTCCATCATTTCTATGGAGGCTTCCTGTTGCTCCTTCTCCTCTGTAGTCTTGTCTCCGGCCTCTGCTGGCTCCTGAAATATATAAGCATGGCTATCAAATGCAACTCATTTTATTCACTCTTACAAGCCCTTTATCACTACAGCACAGTACAGTATGGCAGGAATCAAGAGGCACATGGACTCTTCCCTCTACCAGGTACAATTATTTCAAAATGAGTATAAAGAGTGAGTCAATGCTTCTAAGCTGGAAAACAATTGCCAAGGTGTTGTATAATTATGTAGATAAAACATAAATGCTTCTTCAGTACTATCCATAAGAATACAGTAATTGAAAAATATTTATAAAATTTACTTCATTCTTTTAAAAGATATAATGATTGCAAGAAGAAGCAAAACTACAGAGCATATCTTTTTTGAATCAATGATAAACCAGACTATAGAAATTAAATTAGTTTGCAGCACTTAACTTCTTTATATAATTAATACTGTTACAGAAGTTTCCTCAAAAATATCAATTATTGTTTCAGGCTTGAAGCCATTTCCTACTATATTGTACACTACACAGCATGATACTACAACGGGTGAATTTACATTAAATATATACAGTATTACGACAGGTTTAAAATACTACATTCAAAAGTATAAAACTCGTTTATGGATAAGAAGATGCAACTACTGTCGTGTGCAGTACAACACAAAACACTGAAATATAAATTATCAGGGCTTTCACAATCTTTCAAATTAGAGAGTAATGTAGTACTTTTCAAGAGTGACCAGAGGTCTTAGGGCCAATAAGGTGACAGTTCTAGAGAGAGAGAGAGGTGAAATGCATCTAGTATGGCAGCACTACATTAGTGTTAAGGTGCAAGCACTGCTTGCTCCCTCTCACTTTCAGGTACTGCCGCTAGCTAGCCCTCATGGTGAACAGGGAAGCAACTTGCATACCGATAAGTCTTCCACTGCCAGTACACAGCCTTTTCACCATCAAGACTCCTGCTGTGCCTCCTCATTGCAACACAAGGTAACTGGGTGCCTCATGGGCCCAGGCTAGATCAGCAGGGGATCTCAGAGTAGTAGTGGGCCCCAGAGGGACGGCATATAGGCCCACTGGCGTGTAGACACGTTCTGGCGCCTACCGGCCATTGCCCCGCTGCCTTGCGGATTAACTTTGGTAGGTATAAGGCTACGGGAGTAAACGAAAAATCTGCATCAGGCAGACATGCTTACAGAGCTCCAACAAGTCCCCAACGGGGGTATAGGCGGAAGAGGTGACCGCCATGAAAACCCAACGACTTCACCGGCAGACGAAGTCAATGCATGATGGACAGGCTACTAAGGCAAAACCCAACAAACTGGGATGTCAGCAGTCCATTACGACTCGCCCTCTCCCAAGTCATTGCAGGCAGTAGGCAGCAACCAAACAGGGAGATACTACTGCCTGGGAAGATATTGGAAGCATAATGTATTGTCTAATGGTAGACCCTGCTGCCATATGGCATCACGAAAATTGTGACCAAGTGCCAGGTTGCTGATCTGACTTTCTGCCCCATTTACACACAATTGCAGGGTCTCAATAGTTTCTCTTACTATTAACAACACAACATACATATATTGTTTCTCACTTTTGATATTTTTTTCATTTTGGTATTTCTTTATGGTTCTCTATTACTATTATTATTATTAGTAGTAGTAGTATACTGTATTACAGTGTTGTGTTATATATATATATATATATATATATATATATATATATATATATATATATATATATATATATATATATATATATATATATATATATATATATATATATATATATATATATATATATATATCCTGATAAAATCACACAGGGAAAAGGGAAACAATGGTGCACCTTAGCTTTCGTCTTTATTCAAGACATCTTCAGAGGCAAGTGAATTACTTGGACAGAGAGAGGCTTAAATACACAAGGTGACCTTATTAAACATGAGGTCAGGTCATAATCATGACATCCACTAATCTGCACACCAACACCAACACACACGCAGAGGAGCTTAAGAGAAAGGGCGACGTGACTAGTCAAGCTACGTCAGGTCAAAAATATATGGGACCCACTAAATATCTATCCTACATCTAACTACAAGATTTTAAAAGCATTTTCAACCTTGGGCCACTGACAAATAAATTTATGTAACATATTATCAGTTTTGTACACTTCTAAGCTGTTTTCCCCATCCCCGTGTGCCCAGCCATCTCTTCTACTAACGTAAGAGTTAAAAAACTTAATATTATTGATATTTCTCTTAAATATTAATTGTGTGTGCATATCATCATAAAATTAAGATGTTATTTTTACCACAACGTACGTATTGTGTCGGTGATAGCCCAAAAAATGGTAGTCTGGCGGTCGGCCTAGTCTCTATTTCAATTAATCCCATATGTTCTGTTATTTTACTTACGCGTTTCGCTTTATACTCGGACCTCCATGGGTTTAATTAGGTGCGTAAACCCAGGCTATGCTGTGTATTGAATTAAATCAATTTTGTATTAAGAAAAATTGTGATATATATCAAATATGAACACTATACTGAGCAACGTCCTTGGCTTTGCTTATAAACTTATTTTAAATCACCCCTGAGCCTCTCCCATCAATAGTATAAGCTAGGTTACCTCAGGTGTTCTAATTATGGGTACCTGAAGTGTCGTAGTGCTGAGACACCAGTCTAGAGGCCCTATTCTGGACGTTCTTTATCGATTGATAGTCTCTTGCACATATTGAGGACCAGATAGTACTGCAAACGAGGAAGTACCTCACTTTTGGAGAGCATTAAGAGGGACGAATTGTCTTAGGTATGTGTACGACCTTCTTAAAGGTCCTATTTATCATTCATTATCAGATGAATACTAATTTCGTTATTGTCTTTGTTCTATATGTACATAACCAAAGATATAATCTTTAGTACTGAACGACAGTCCCCCAGCTCACCTCAGGAGTTCCCGTGGAATGTTTGTTGTCGTCGAGGTCCGGTTACCATGACAACACTAAATAATAATAATGGACAGATACGGACCTACATGTTGTCTTTTGTTTTTAAAGGGATTAGCCCACCCGGGTACAGGTCAATGACTTTTATCCTCTTCACCAATGATCGACTCGTTAGCCGCTTGGGCGATCGGTCACGTCTATGTTACGCACTGTTGGCAAGTACTGGGCATGCACCGGCTCCTGAATGTACTTGAACCTGCTCCAGTGTTAGTCAAGTCTGCAGAAGCTATCAGTACAGAAAAGTGTCATAGTTAACTTCTTAGTAGTAAGATTTAGGAACTTTTGATTGATACAACCTGCTAGAGAATGTTGGGACCTCATCGAGTGTGACCTCATTTAAGACCAGACTTTATTAACACTGACATGTGTTCAGGTATATTCAAGAGCCTGTACATAGTACAGAACGACCGCCCGATCAGATAATAAGTTGGTTGCGAGGATACTGAAAAAACATTGTTGATGGTTCAGAGGTAACGTGTGTAGCTCTGAGTCTCACCAATATATCATGGTTCGAGTCTTGCTTGACACGGACACACATGAGAAGGGTGTTAGCCTGTGTGACCCTACCAAACATCATAAGTTTCCCGGACTTCGGTTTCTTCCTGCAGTGGTACAAACACTGCATATGGATAGTCTAACCGCCTAAACGGCGAGTAAGCTGATAAGTGGTGAAAAAAATAAATTAAACAAAAAGTAGGTAAAACCAGCTCAGTGTAGCTTAGCAGCTGTTCCAGAATAGTTTCCCCAAAATTTGTATCCGTTTTTTCTGAAAAAGAAAATATCGTAATATCAATATTAAATATTTTTAAATAACTATGAGTTGATAGATAACAACATAAATAAAAAATAATATTTTTGCACATATCTGTCCTGAAAGAGTATAAATATTTTATATGGTTTAGAAGTTTCTTAATATATCCCTTTAACAGTAGGTGCGTGTCATACTGGCCGCCGTGTGTGGCAGCGCTGCGTGTCATCCTCCTTTCCTGTTGATGGTCGCCCAGGCAGGTCGCCAGCATGGATCAAGTAAGGTTATAAATTAATGTATTATATTAGTTGTAGCCCGTGTTTATTTGTTAAATGCCATCTAGTTGTATGACTTAAATTCTGGTGAAGTAAATATGAATTACATGTTGTAGAGTATGATATACAGTAAATATTGGCGCCAGCTGAACCACACACGTGTGTACAGTGATATTTATTCGAGAAAATTGTCATACAAGTGCACATTGGTGTAGCACTTACACAGACCGTGTAGATATATAAGAAGTGGTAATCAATGAGGAAATTATAACTGATAATAGCACAAGAAAGTTGATAAAAGCTTATTTCTATTCATTATCGAGTTGGGGCCCGTGTCTTAAGCCAGGAGTGACGAAAATGATTCCGGGACTTAGAAACCTTCTATTTCAATATAGATTAAAGAAACTAAACTTGCATTCCCTAGAAAGACGAAGAGTGCGGGAAGATATGATACAAGTATTTAAGTGGGTGAAAGGAATAAGAACATAAGAATGGAGGAAACTGCAGCGGGCCTATTGGCTCATACTGGGCAGTCCCGTTTACACCCAACCCCTATTGCTCATATAAGCATCCAACCTATGTTTGAAGCTATCCAGCGTATTCAAGTTAATGATGATATTTGGTAACTTGTTCCATTCATCCACTACTCTGCTTCCAAACCAGTGTTTACCTATTTCCCGCCTAAATCTAAATTTGTCTAATTTAAAATCATTGTTACGAGTTCGCTCCTGGTTGGATAGTTTGAGTACCTTTTTAATGTCCCCTTTGTTTAGCCCTGCCTTCCACTTATACACCTCTATCAGGTCGCCCCTCGCTCTACGTCTCTCGAGGGAGTGCAAATTAAGATGCTTTAACCTGTCTCCATACTCAAGGTTCCTAATGCCCGGGATTAGTCTTGTCATTCTCCTCTGAATTCTTTCCAAGGATTCTATATCCATTCTGTAATACGGTGACCAGAACTGAACTGCGTATTCCAGGTGTGGTCTCACAAGAGCAAGATACAGTTTTAGGATGACCTCGCTAGTCTTGTAACTAACACTCCTTTGTATGAACCCAAGTACTTTATTAGCCTTGTTGCGAGCAAAAACACATTGTTTACTTGGCTTAAGGTTCCTACTTATCATTACTCCTAAATCTCTCTCGCAGGGGATATAGATAAAGTTCTTATAATATTCGAGCAGGATAGGACTCGTAGCAACGGATTTAAGTTGGATAAGTTTGGGTTTAGGAGGGAGATAGGAAGGAACTGGTTCACAAATAGGGTGGTGGGCGAGTGGAACAAGCTTAGCAACTTTGTTGTAAGTGCTGGAACGCTGGAAAGTTTTAAAAGGAGGCTAGACAGATTCATGAATGATAGAGAGTGGAAGTAACTCTCGACATGAGCTGCCATGCACAGGCCAACCGGCCTATTGCAGACTCCTTATGTTCTTAAATTGCCCATTACATCATCTCTCGAACCCGGAAAACTATCCCCCCCCCCCATCCCTGGAATTTTCCGGGTTACGGAAATTTTGTCACGGAATTTCCAGAAAATGCGCCTGATTTTCATCTCCCAAACCCAGAAAAAACTCCCCCATCTTTAATTTTCTGAGTATCGAGAAAATGTGCCCCTTGGAAAATCATTCCCTCGGGTTTGAGGGATTCCGGCTAAAGGAGATATTACTGTATTAAAACAACAGCAAGTAGGCTGCAGCCTTCAGCGGTTTGAAGATAAAGTACAGTAGTATATGTGTGAGTAATACAGAAGTATTCTTGTGTGGTCGTGTCGTTCATCATTTTTTAATTTTGTTAATATATACATGCTGTACTTTACCTTCATTTGGCAACTGTGATTACTGTATTTGTGAAATTTTATAATAAAAGAGGTTTGTTGCCTTCTAAGTACAGTACAGTAGTATAAATCATTTAACAAAATAATGTAGAATTAATACAGGTATTTTGTAAGAAGTTTATTTTAAATTTAAGTAATATAACAAAAGTTTCACTGAAGATCGTTAAGAAAACAAAACAAAAAATACGTGTACATACAGTAGTGATGTCCTTATTTTAATGGCACCATTTTATATAATAATTAGTTTTCTTTTCATTTGTACAACAATTACAGTACACTACTGTATTGCTTAATTTGTTGTGCATGTCAAATAGTTTGTCCTTTCTAATGCCTGGGTAATGTATCATGTTACCATAGGTTTCGCTACTGGACTAGAGTAATGTGTTCAGCACTATTTTCCTTGTTCCACTTATGTCCTGGTCAAGGTGCTGGACAGTACAGAATGTTTGAGGATATTGCTATTTTTCTGTAGAAATGAATGAATGTCCCACTGTTATTTTGTCATTTAGACAGAAGAATGTCCCACTGTTATTTTGTCATTTAGACAGAAGAATGGCTCACTGTTATTTTACCATTTAGAAGAATGTCCCACTCATTTTACCATTTAGACAGAAATAACAGTGTTATTTGACCATTTGTAGCCAAAAAAGCTTGCGAATTTGCTAATTTGACCATTTAGATGGTAAAATATTTATCAATACTTTACATTTTAAGAACATAAGAATGGAGGAAACTGCAGCGGGCCTATTGGCCCATACTGGGCAGTCCCGTTTACACCCAACCCCTATTGCTCATATGAGCATCCAACCTATGTTTGAAGCAATTCAGCGTATTCGAGTTAATGATGATATTTGGTAACTTGTTCCATTCATCCACTACTCTGTTTCCAAACCAGTGTTTACCTATTTCGCCTAAATCTAAATTTGTCTAATTTAAAACCATTGTTACGAATTCGCTCTGGTTGGATAGTTTGAGTACCTTTGTAATGTCCCCTTTGTTTAGCCCTGACTTCCATTTATACACCTCTATCAGGTCGCCCCTCGCTCTACGTCTCTCGAGGGAGTGCAAATTAAGATGCTTTAACCTGTCTCTATACTCAAGGTTCCTAATGTCTGGGATTAGTCTTGTCATTCTCCTCTGAATTCTTTCCAAGGATTCTATATCCATTCTGTAATACGGTGACCAGAACTGAACTGCGTAATCCAGGTGTGGTCTCACAAGAGCAAGATACAGTTTTAGGATGACCTCGCTAGTCTTGTAACTAACACTCCTTTGTATGAACCCAAGTACTTTATTATCCTTGTTACGAGCAAAAACACATTGTTTACTTGGCTTAAGGTTCCTACTTATCATTACTCCTAAATCTCTCTCGCAGTCGGATTTTTCTATGGCATCGTTGTTCATCTGGTATCTGGTTTCCCTGATTACATCTCCTATACTGAGTACTTTACATTTGTCGACGTTGAATTTCATCTGCCATTTTTCAGACCATTCGAAAAATTTGTTTAGATCTTCCTGTAGTTTTGCCGAGTCCTTGTCAGATTTGATAACACGTCCTATTTTAGTGTCTTCAGCAAATTTACTTATGTTGCTGTCAATGCCGATATCTATGTCGTTTATGTATATAATAAATAATAATGGTCCAAGTACTGAGCCTTGGGGAACTCCACTTGTGACGTTGCTCCACTGGGATTTAGTGCTGTTAATGCTCACTCGCTGTTTCCTGTCCTGTAACCACGCCCTAATCCATTTAAGGATGTCACCTTTGATGCCATGAGCTTCTACCTTTCTAATTAGTCTTTCGTGGGGGACTCTGTCGAAGGCTTTGCTAAAGTCGAGATATACCACATCATAATTGTGCCCCTCGTCCACCGATTCGAAAACTGATGAAAAGAATGTTAATAGATTAGTTAGGCAAGAACGTCCGCTTGGAAGCTATGCTGGGAATCATTGATCAATCGGTGCTTTCTCCAGGTGATTTAATAGAGTTTGAAATGATTGCTTCCAGTAATTTGCCTACTATTGATGTTAGACTGATTGGGCGGTAGTTAGAGGATAGTGATCTATCCCCCTTCTTGGAAATCGGTATTACATTCGCTATCCTCCAGGATTCTGGTACTACACCTGTTTTTAATGACATGTTAAACAACTTTGCTAAGGGCATACTAAGCTCTTCCTTACATTCCTTTAATACTCTGGCAAATATCTCTTCGGGACCAGGTGACTTATTAGGCTTTAGTTTGTCTGTTTGCTTACTAACATCGTTACTAGTCACTACTATCTCACTTTATTTGTTTTCTTCACTATCTCTGAATAGAGTCGGTGCCTCGGGTATCATGTTTAAATTTTCGGTGGTGAAAACTGTTGAAAAATATTTATTCAAATTATTGCTCATTTCTCCGTCGTTATCAGTGAGCTCGCCGTAGTCTGTTAATGTTAATCCGTGAGCATTTTTTTTTCTTTTTCTTTTCTCACTAAACTTTAGGTCAAACTTTGGTTTAGTGATAGCTTGACTCACTGGGAAAGGGAAAATACTGGGGATGGGGCAGGCAGCATGTTGCCATTGTTACATGTAATAAAAGGATAAAATTAGACTTACCTTTTGCTCACTAAATTGTTTAACTCTGAACAACTTTGTTCTTTATAAACAACGTTGTTCAAAGTCAAACGATTAAGTAAGCAAAAGGGAAGTCTAATTTGATCAAATTGCATACGTCAAAAATTAACACAAATTTCTATGATAAAGAATAAAGTTGAGACATAGCATATGGTATCATATTATACAATAGCATATGTTTTATGTACAAAAAATAGCTCCTTCCACACACTAACCATCCTCTGAGCAACATGACACACTCAGAGTCATGTTGTTGCTATGCTGTGTGTATGCCATGACAACACATTGGGGAAGGGTCAGTGAGCACAGTTGGGCTCAATGCAGTACTGTACTGTACTCAGTATTTTCCGCCCTGCCGTTTGAATCCGTTGTTCATCCTCTATTCTTTGATGTTAACCTTCGTAATTTCACTTAACGTTAGGTTTCCAGAAACGCAACCCCATCATTAAATGAGGGATAACTATACAGTACATAGGTACAGTAAAATATAAAAACACAAGACCAAATGAGCTTATTATAAATTATACATGAAAGCGAAATACCACAGGCCCTAGAAACCCACTGGCTTAACAATCTTAACTTTAGGCAAAAATGATCCAACCTGATTTCTTCAGTCATTTCCCAGAATGCTTCAGTGAAAATGGGTACAAAAGCCTCAGTGCAGTACAGCTTTTTAGCCACTCGCTAAAATTTTTAAATTCGTGATACAATAAATTATTTTTATTATAATAATGACACTTTTAAAATATAGCCGAACCAAAAAAAGGGGGGCTCTTGACCAATGGTTTAGATACTAGGGGGGAAATGGAATGCATTAGCCTGTATTGTACAATAACACAAACAAACCCTTTTTGAATAAAAAAAGCTTCAAATTTTTTTCCAATATGCCTCAGTGGACTTAATTTTTGTGTTTGTTAAAGAATTAAAGAATAGATGGTCGTAGAGTTGAGCAAATCACCTGTGTAGATGGTTAAATTGTCACATGATACTTGTAGTTTCATATGATTTTTAACGGGTACTGTAACTACTTAACACAAAACTGTACATTTGAGTAGTGTTATATAGTACAATATTATCACTTTTCCTGGACTTAATTTATTATGAACTGTAGACTTAAACATTTAGCTAACTGTTGTCTTTGATTGAACTGCAGATACATTACTTCTCGAATTGTTGACATGTTCTATGCTAAAGTCACAAAAACAACCCTAAAATACTGTATTGGTAATTTGCACTGGGGAAATATTTGCTTCAAGAGTAAATAAAATATTCAACTTTGGGTGATTGAGTGTTTGTCTCCAAAGGCTTTACAGTACAGTAATAAAAAGGCAGAATGTTGGGGAAGAGAGGCTGTATTTAGGCTCCCTGTACAGTACTGTAGTAATCAGCAACAGGTAATTTCTGATTGCTGGCACTCGCCACATGCAAATAGAGAGGTCATAGTCAGCCATGTGTTAATTAGTCAAAATACATCATTTTAGACAGCACAAACTAACTATAACCTGACCTTAATTAGGTTGGTTTGGTTGATTCAAGTCAGATTATATCTGAAATGAAGTAATATTGCATCAAAGACAGGACTGCTATCAGTCACTCACTTGGCTAGTCGATGCTTGACTGACTTTGTTGCCCTCCTGGCTACATGGTAGTTTTCAGTTAAATTAAACACTAGGTATAAGTATACTGTAAAGCAAAAGCATTTGTAAACTTATCGAAACAAAACTATATTTTGGCTAAAAATAGTCAGTTCTGCAGATATTTTTTATATGGCAATTTGCAGTAAATGTAATTGATAAAAAGATTTTAAGTTCAACCTTGTAAGAAAATTTCATATAGTTTAGCCTTTGGTAATTTGTTAGAAGGTAAACCAGTATTAACCTAGCAGCTGATTACAGAGTGAGCGAGCCTTCCAGAAGCAGCCTCTTGTTTTCCTGAACCGCAAGAAGGTTCTGGGAAAGAGGCCACGTGGCCTAAGGCACACTCGGCAGGTGGGGCTTGGCTTCAAGGCCCCCCGCGAGGTAAGCGGGCACCCAGCACATGGTGCCTCAATAGGAGGCAGCCACTAGCAGGCATGCTGACTTAGGCCTGTTTGAGTTGTCTGGTTGTTGCCTGTCCCTTCCCCTCCACTTCCCTCCCTCCCATCACCACTCTTAACTAGTGCCAAAGCTGGCTCCCTGGCACACTTACCTGTCTTGTGTGTTGTGTGGGGAGTCTCTAGTATTGGAGGTGGAACACTGATCAGAACTCGGGAATTTTCAAGCCCTAACTTTTTTTTATGCGTTGTTTATCCAGAACTCATTGTTTGTTTTGATCAGTGTCCTCTCTGTAGTGATTCCCTTCCTACGTTTTCCTGCATGATGTGTGTAACCTTTAACATCGGCACCTTGCATGGTTGTTCCAGACCGAGAAGGCTTTCCAGAAGCAGCCCACAGTCTTCCTTAACTCCAAGAATCCCAAGGAGAAGGGAGGCAAAACTAAGCGCCATTTGCGTAAGGTTGGCCTGGGCTTCAAGACTCCCCGTGAGGTAGTAACATAGTGGCTTATTTTTTAATATATATATATATATATATATATATATATATATATATATATATATATATATATATATATATATATATATATATATATATATATATATATATATATATATATATATATATATATGGTGCTCCTCTACTTAAGAACGTTCAACTTACAAACTTTCAGAGATACAAACATCATCACTGAGGGGGTTACCTGCCAGAACAGGTGTTTAATGTGGATGAGACTGGATTATTTTGAAGAAAATTCCAGATAGAACAAACATTACCTAAGAGGAGAAGAGTGAGCCAGGTTTTAAGGCTGTATTAAAGGGTATAGCTGTACTAAATATCCATAATCTTTTCATTTTTTACAATATGTTTGGTATCTACAAGAGTAAACGTAACTCATAACTCGTAAGTAGAGGAGCACCTATATATATATATATATATATATATATATATATATATATATATATATATATATATATATATATATATATATATATATATATATATATATATATATATATATATATATATATATATATAATTTTTTTTTTTTTTTTCTTTCACATGATTTTTTGATTGTTGTTTTTGTTCATTTATTATGCTTGCCAACCTTTCATATGGGTAGTTGTAGTTAGGCAGCATGTCATAATACTAGTGAGTTCATCCTCCTTATGCTATGGATCAGAGGTTTATTTTTACCCTGATTTTGCCATAGATTATTCAAAATGAATACTGTACTATAGGTAATTTACAATAAAGGTAACTGCTGTGAGGTTTTAAGCTACAGGTAACTCCATCTTTTTAAGACTATAATTAAACCTTTAAAATGATTTTAAACTTTGATTGCATAGTGAATGTCTATAGTGTACCAAGAAAAACAAATTATTGTAATGTATTTTGAAATCTCAACTCATTCCCAAGGGAATTTGTAGATACAGTACATTACTTGATACTACATGTATCTCAGTACCTTAGTAAATGGTTACAGTTTCAGAAATTTAGGCAGCATTCAACATTTTTGCCAATGGGGAACAAGCCCATGAAATAGCCATCAGTGATCTCGTGGTATCATTAATTAATTTTTAAAGCAGAATGTTAGTATGACTCCTTAATTCAGATGTAATGTCAGTTACTGTATACAGTACAGTTCTTGTTTTAGAATTGTTATATTTTATACCCAAGTTAATATTTCTTCATTCAATTGCAATTTGGTCCCTTTTATTCCATACGTGGTACTGTACTGTACAAATAATAGGAAAGCAATATGGATAAAATAAGATAAATTAGATCTGCAATATTGTTGACTGGTCTTAGAATCCTGGCTAAAAACCAGAAGTGTAATAAAAGATTACTGTTGATTTATTCAGGCATAGGGAATAAGACGGTACAGTTGACACAGCATCCCTACACATAAGATTGGAGGGGTGCTATTCTGGTGAGGTGACCACACGGATGGTTTTCATCCATGTCAGTGCCCTAGACTAACCTAATGCTTCTCACCAAGGGTTGCCACCCCGCAATTATGGGAAAAGGCATAAAGGATATTTCTAAATTCAATTGTTATAGATGTTCTTTCTACTTTAACTGTAAAGTCTTGGAGCATGATAAGAAGTTGGCTTCTTGGCTTCATGCTCAGTAAGAATTTTCATATTTTCCTAATCACTTTGGTGTTCATCTGTGTGTACCTAACTTCGGGGATTCCACACTTTCAGAAAAATTTGTTTTTTTTTAGTAGATTACAGTTTAAAAGTTAATTGAAAAGATTAAAATAAATTCAGATTTATACAGATGCCACTAATGTTTGATGAGTAATTTTTTTTTTATGAATTTGAGTTTAGCTTTGGGGGTAATTGAGGTGATCGGGGAACAGTGACAAATACGCCAAAATCTTTTTTCTCGGTATTCAGAATTAAAGATTTATATACATTTCCTTAAACTAAATTAAATTTACTATCTCTTGACACCAGTTTCCTCATAGCTGTGTAATGTGGATGTGTGGAAAATAAGCTACACAACTTTAACTGAATACTGTATCTTTAAAAAACAATATTCGTTACTGTTCCCCTGAGCACCTCGGTTGTGAAATGCTGTTGGCTTTGTTTTGAGATCTTAGATTTATATGTTTTTATTTTATTTTTATTTTTTTTAATGAGTGATGTGTGGAATCTCTGCAAGCCTGAGTGTGAAGCAGTGGCCTCTACACTCTGTATCGGTGAAACTTCCTCCCAGCACTTGCCATCCTTTTGCATACAACTTGCTACATGTTATCAAGTGTAAACCAGGCAAATTATATGCTAGCATCTTCAAATAACACAAGTTTTACTTGAGTTTAGGACACAATGTTGTTGCTCATGTATGTGTACTTGTCTAATTCTAGTACAGTACTGTAATCCATAAAGATAATTAAATCCTCTTAAAGATTAGATATATTTAGTTATACTGTACTTGTGTCCTTCAGTGGTTAGTCCCCTATTTATCAACTTATGCAACAATATCCACCTGGACTTTTTCCCATGCCGCCACATAAATTGGAGGTGTGGCGTAAACACCAGGAAGAGTAAGTTACTCTTAGATCCTGTGGGTCCCTGTATATGGGGCTTACAATGAATCAGAGTAAGACATTAGATGCCCAAAACTTTTATTATTGTCACAAGGGAACTCCGTACAGTACTGTATTCAGAAAAGAACACAATAAAGTACAGGAGTAGTTATTATTATCTTTAATAATTCTTATAGGGAATTGACATAATTTTGAGTATCGGCAAACTGGGGATTTGCAATGATTATTCGTGTGTGTGAGTGCCATTGACATATCCTAATATTTTTTTGTTTTATAGGCTGTTGAAGGCACATATATTGACAAGAAGTGCCCCTTTACTGGAAATGTATCAATTCGAGGTCGTATCTTGACTGGTGTGGTTCAGAAGATGAAGATGCAGCGCACCATCACCATCCGTAGGGACTATCTCCATTACGTGAAGAAGTATAACAGGTAATTGATGGTAAAATCTTGCTCAAGTGGTTTTACTAGAAGGGTACAAAACAGGAAATTGGGCATGTTGTGTTAAATAGAAGGGAGGCCTCGTATGTCTGAGGAGTGTTCCATAGAAAAGTGATTTATAGTGAAACTTTATAATGAAATTTTTCTCATAAGAAATAATGTAATTAGGGGTACCGGGGGCCCCCAAGTTTGCGGATTTTATTTTGCGGTTCTCTATTATTCGCGGATGACGCCCTGGATGTACCCAAGAATGTCATTGGGTAGTTTTAAAGTTGCCGTAATTTTCGAGGCAGAGACAGGGAGTCACTCATTCTAGAGACAGTAATTTCCTTTAGCTGTATTGTAAATATGTCTGTGTGTGTGTAGACAAACACACAAAAACACGTACAAATAAATAATAATTGGAAAATACTCTCAAGTTATCAGAAACAAATTGGCAGCTTTGTTTACATATCAAACAGCTGATTGTAGAGGCAGTCGATGGTGACATGCCATATTCTTTACAGAGACCATTGGTTCTAATGCCTTCTTCATGTTTCATAATAATTTCTGCACTGTATATTATCAATATGTTAACTAAATTTCAGAATGGCCAATAATTTTATTGTAAAAATATTTAAGAGACCAACAAACTCGATGTTCACTCCACCGTAAACAAAGTTAAACTGAGAAGCGTTGGTGGGTGATTTGATCAGCTGAAGGGCACACAAAACTGTTCCCTGTACTGTATATATTATCAATATGTTAACTAAATTTCAGAATGACCAATAATTTTAAGGCGTTCGTTAATCAAGTTTTGTTCGTTAATGGTACTTAAAATGCTTATGGGAGCTAATTCGTTAATTGAACGGTTCATTAATCGAGGGACCACTGTATATATATATATATATATATATATATATATATATATATATATATATATATATATATATATATATATATATATATATATATATATATATATATATATATATATATATATATATATATATATATATATATATATATATATATATATATATATATATATATATATATATATATATATATATACAGTAGTACCCCGATTTACGCGGTCAATTGAACCCACAGGGTACCGCGGAAAGTGAAAACCGCGTAAAGTGAACAACAGAACATATGGGATTAATTCCAATAGAGACTGGCCCGACCCCCAAACTCCACTTTTTCCGACACAATACCTATGTTGTAGTAAAAATAACATCTAAATTTTATGATGGTATGCTCACACAATTAATATTTAAGAGAAATACAGTCGCCAGGTTAATGTCCATTCAAATAATGGACTCAAATCCCCTCTTCCCAGCTCACTAGCTCCTACCTCTCTGATTAATGTTTGGGTGAAAACTCTAGATTTTAACGTTTAGTAATAAATAATACCTCAGACTAAAGTTAGGATAATATAATTGACATTTCTGGATTCCTTGCAGGTCAGGGAATATTTTGAATGTAAACTTCATATATTTTGCACAAAAGATAAAATATTTGCTTTGTGTAAACCAAATTATTACATTAGATCTAAAATTTGTATGTCTAATGCAAAATCCATGATGTTTATATTCAAAATGATCATCATATTGTAAGAATTCCAGCAATGTAAATTATATTCTGGTCGAGTAATTTGTATGAATTTTATGAGCTAAAACAAATATCTTCAGTTAATAAAAAAAAAAATATTCTTCACGACACTATCTGTCAATCAAAGTACCCCACCTTGCCTCCCCCCCTCTCACACTCACGCCAGCTGGGTCGGTCGGTCCCAACCCTCCCCCCCACCTTCCCTCCCTACCAGATAAATGTGTGGGTGAAAACTCTAGATTTTAACGTTTAGTAATAAATAATACCTCAGACTAAAGTTAGGATAATATAATTGACATTTCTGGATTCCTTGCAGGTCAGGGAATATTTTGAATGTAAACTTCATATATTTTGCACAAAAGATAAAATATTTGCTTTGTGTAAACCAAATTATTACTTTAGATCTAAAATTTGTATGTCTAATGCAAAATCCATGATGTTTATATTCAAAATGATCATCATATTGTAAGAATTCCAGCAATGCAAATTATATTCTGGCCGGGTAATTTGTATGAATTTTATGAGCTAAATAAAAAAAAAATATACTTCACCGTGTATATGAGTAGATGCACCGCGGAAAGTGAAAGTCTGGTTCTGGCAAGGTACCTTGTAAATGAGAAATCGCGGAAAGGAAAGTGAAACCGTGTAAAGCGGGGTAATACTGTATGTATATATATCCTGTAGTTTATTTATTTATTTATTTTATTGTTTTTCCTAAGTCACATAAGAGCATTGAAATTATATTCCCACAACTTAAATGGTTTGGAAAGTAACAATGCTATGTGCGCAGCCTTCTCACAGGCACTCGTGTGTTATGGTGCTCACTATACTGTATTCTACCACACAAGTGTTCAACACCAAAAAATCTAAGACAATCTTATTCAGTTCTTATACAATGGAAGGTTTGCATGTAAAGAAATGGAGTGAAAAAAAATTAAATAAAATACAAAATTACAGCTGGGTGTGCAGTCAGGGAGAGGTAGGGGCTGCTGGCTGGATTGCTTGTCAGCCTGGGATCTCTTTATACTGTAACGACAGTACAGTATGCAATTTCACCATAATTCATTTGGTGCTGGATTAATAAAACATTATCAAAAAATATCAACTTTTCCTGAAAAGTCCCACACAACCCGAGATGAGTTATTGTGGCATATTAAATTCACAGCAGATTTGTTTGCATAGCATAAACAGCTGATTGTCCAGACCATCCCTCACCATGTCTTTAACGCTTAGTAAATAATATCGTAGTGTAATTATCAACACTTAAAAAGAATTATGTAGTGTATTATGCTCCTGCATATACCCTGGTTTAATAGTCAGTTGCCTTTTTGTACAGTAGCTAAAACAACTATCTGTGCAGGTGGGGTCGATATGCTCCAAAATTTTACGTGTGACAAGTGACAGCCCTCATGTACCAAAATTTATTGTCCACGGTCTCATATTGTTTCCCATAAAGTAACCAAATTGAATCATCATGTATCACTCATAGGTAACACATAATGCTGGGAATATCTCTCTCTCAACACATCCTGAGCTTTCAAGGGGTATTACTGTTCTTGTTGGAATGCATATACCCCTAATTACAGTTATATAAATGATTTTGGATATACAGTATATCTGTACAGCCAGTCAAACTATAATTCATTACCTATTGTTCTGTATTTTGGGTATCATTTGTTTGTTTCCTTTATTGTTGGTATGAAACAAAAAATATGAAAATACCTTATTCAAAAGCAAATTTCATTTTTGACATTGACTTTTAATGATAAATATTTCCAATTTTCTAAACATCTTCTCAGAAGTGCTAATGCCTTGAGATTATTTGCATTTTGATAGTCCTGTTTTATTAACATTATTTTAGAGAATAACAGGTCTGTTTACCAATTGTGAACATTTTTAGTATGAATAAATGGACAGCTACATCAACATTTTCTATGAACCAATCATCTATTTTTATAGAAGAGGGGCATGGCTTATGTCTAGGTTAGTGTGGAAATACTATTATGCTTCCCCACTGTTGTGTACATTGTTAGGTTGGCAGATAACAGTACAGTATATATAATTAGCCATCCTAAGTTTAGGGAAGTGAATGTTTGCAAATGCTTATATGGAGGCGGCAGTAGAGAAGGGATAAATGATGCCTAAAAAAGAAATAGGATATTATGAGGTGGTAAAGAAGATTTGGGAGAAACTTGGTTATCTCAAATAATAACACTGCAGGGTTTTCTCTGTAGCCAACCAAACTGAAAAATTGATTGATGTCTGGGTTATTTCATATGGTCCCTGGAACAACATATTCGTTTTTCTGATGATATAAACAATTTACTCGTAGTTCATCTCTTAAACAAATCAGTAATCATCTCGGTACTCAGTTGCTATAGTTTCTCCCATTTCTTTAGTAATTTACAGTGGTGTTCCTGATGTCTAACCTCTTCTGATTCTTTTTAGGACAGTAAACTTTCAATGGAATCTTCAGTGTTTATTACCACTGACATTTATTGCTAATACAGTCTATGGAGTTGGGATGGTCTTTGTTGTAAGATTAAAGGAATGATTATTTAACAGGCAGGTAGTGGTGATGCTTCTTGCTATTGATGTAGTCTTCATGATTAAGTAACAGAGGCCTTTTAAATGTATCAATTTACTGTTGATTTTTTGTTGTTTGTCTCCTATCCTCATTTTTTTGTAAGGTATTGGGTTGTTATTGAAAATTTTGCATTTATGAACTCCTTGACTCCTTGTTGTAATAGAAGATCCAGTGATATAGTATCCATTTTCAGAAAATGAAGTGCTATTCAAGTCACAAACTAGGGGACTATACTGTAGGTTTGCTCTTCATCCAACTGTTTGTCTTGGCAAACTTCATATGGAGAAGGATTTTGTAGATGGGAAGTGGTCTTCTTGAAATTTGTCAGAAACTTTAAAAGATTAAGGATTGATGCAAGTTCAGTATTTTTATCTTTCAAGCTGTGAAATGATTTGATCAGGGCTGCCACTGGTGCAGTTAGGTTTAGAATATAAAATTACTATATGGAAAGAAGTCAGTAGTTAAAATACTTAACCCTTCGGCCCCGGGTGACGTTCCAGAACGTCCGACCAGCGCGCACCGGGTGGTGTTCCATGTCCACCTAATTCCCTCCTTCCCCCCCCCCCTTTTTTTAAGTTGAATCTTTTTCGCTTTATCGGAAGTTATACTGCCAACAGCACCCTAACCCGGGGTTTAAGGGTTAATGAAGTACAGTATTGTAAAACAAATGCAGTCTTGTTATATTTTTACTGATAATTGTACAGAATATTCTTTATCTTTTATATATACAGCACATAGTCACTATTCTTGTTGCTGAAATGTTGTGTACTGTATATGTATTTGACAGTGGAATTAAGATGTAACAAAGTTGAGAAAATCAGCCTGTAAAAATTTACGGTTTGATTGATCATGATTGGCAACCCTCCTATCTTTTTTTTAAAGGGAGGGGGGGGGGTTGATTAAGATACTGCATCCTCTCGTGGTAAAATGCTACTGGCAACTCATTAGTATAGGTCTCGGTTCACATCAGTCATGAGATTGGTTACAGGTCAAATGTTGAGGTCTTTTAGGCCTTGGTTCCACCAAACCACTCACAATGATTCTATGACATCAGCACTTGCTTAATTTATATCCCATTTTTACACTAACAGTGAACCACCAGTACCCAAGTTTTTGACAATCATCATTTAATCTTAGGCATTGCTTGCAATTATTTTCATAATTTACCCTGGAGCTTGGTCTTTCACCACTGTACCATGCTGTTTGTGGTGTAACAAGAATTTAGGGAGAGAAAATATCCTCACAGATCCAGTGGGTTCCATTATCATTGGTGCTTACTTTGAAGCTGGGGATGACATTCACAAACATTTCTTAAGGGTTACAATATATATATATATATATATATATATATATATATATATATATATATATATATATATATATATATATATATATATATATATATATATATATATATATATATATATATATATATATATATATATATATATATATATATATATATATATGAGAACGAGGACCATTTCAGTCAAGAGATACAGGAGTTTGAATGTGAAGGGGAGGAGAGTTAGAAGGAAGCCAAGAATGACATGGGGGAGAGGTTGTAAGTAACTATCTCCTATATAGAGCCTGGCGAGAGAGGCTGCAAGAGATATGTGCAGCATGGAGAGCTGCCATCAGGTAATCACAGCTACCCCACACAGGTGTGGAAAGATAACTAAAACAATGATGATGATGGTTCAGAAATTGTGTGTGTACATTATAACCATCTTTGTAATATATTTATTTATATTGTATTGACATTTTTATTTACTTTACAGATTTGAAAAAAGGCATAGGAACATGTCTGTTCATCTCTCTCCATGCTTTAGGTATGTAGGATGAAAAGCATAACTTATTGTGTTAAAAAAAAGGAAGCATGGAACTCATGAAAAAAATTTGAACTTTACTAACCAAAGTTGAAGGGAAAAGGAATTGTAGTTCTTGCAATGAATAAGTCTAACTGCTTACACTGTACACTTTATAACTAGGCAGCACTTTATTCTTTAAGTTGAATTGCAGAGCGATCTAGAGTTCTAGACTATAGTCTCTTTTTGTTGCAGGGATGTGAGGCCTGGCGATATTGTGACTGTTGGGGAATGCCGCCCCCTGTCAAAGACTGTTCGATTCAATGTGTTGAAGATCAGCAAGGCTCCTGGCACTAAAAAACAATTCCAGAAGTTCTGAATATATATCTTGTAAGACAATGCTGTTTTTTTCTTACAATTCCTCTATGTATACCTTTTAGTTTCAGTAATTTCCTGAGAATAGTTAACTTTGCATCACATGTGAGTGTTAAGATTTCTTATATTTAGTTTTGTATGATTGTACTCCATTCACAATTTTTTAAAGTTATTCTGGTTTTCTTCATCTTATTTCATCCTGAACAATATGCCCAACATCTTTTAATCATGAAAAGTTCATAGTTAATGGAATTTGGTGTAAAGATTCATAAAGAATACTGAAAAGGAGATAACAACAGCATTTAGACACTGTGATTAGGAGAACCTCATCCCAGGTGTTACAATAGGGGGTTATAGAATAGTCCAGGAGAAACAGACACTACTTCAGAACAGAGGAGAAAGTAAATACACATACATATTGGAGTCTCAGTTTGACTTTGTCAAAGTGTTGTTTTGCCTCCCAATGCTACATCAATCATACAGCTAATGGACCAGAATGGGATCAGCAACTTTAAGAAGCTGTACATGAAGAAAATGTTCAGGTGTCATCAGGCAACTTCCACTGATCCTGAACTAACACTGGCACAGTTCTGGAAAACACAATTTAACATCCCCTGAAGATGTGAATTACACGGAAGGGCTTGTGAACTAAGTGTTTTCTTTTTCCTTGTGGTTATCAGTAGCGGTAACTATTATATTTCATCACAGAATACTGTGAAGGT